TAGTTTACAAGTTAAAACTCCAATGAACAGAAATTCAGGGTCGTCCTCAGTTGTCAAATATTTTTATACCGTATAAATTAGAATGATGCGAAACAATGTGGTTGATTGTACTTGGCATCCATTTTCATAAGCTTAAATAAAAAAAAATTATTAGAGCAATTATTCGAAATTCTTTTGTTTAGGAGAACAAAACATGTGATGACTTCTATAGATTTTTAATTACAGAACATGCTTATTAAGAAGAAAAAAAAATATTTTAAGCGCAAACTTTTAAAATGTAACAAAGGTTTTGTCAATCGTATGACACGTATTAAATTATTCTGTTACACTGAAACTACTGTGCATTTTTGAGACTCTATATTGTGGAAGGTGGTTTTTAAGGCAGTTCACCAACATTATTTACAGCAAATATATTTTGATTACATTTGGACATAGAAAAGTAGAGTAAAGAATTTAGCCCACTAAATCTATTTCTAAAAAATGAACCCACTAGGGCATTGGTTAGCAAATCTTTCGCGCGATGAGTGCTGCTCGGCCAGTTAGCCACAAATCGGTTTTGACTCAGAAAATCATGGTTCTTGACAGGTTTTTGAAAAGAAATTTGGCTCTCAAAATGTTTTTTAATCATCCGTCGGCTGTTTTCTGTCTGATTGACTAATGAGTTTGACGAACACTGCACAGAGATAATGCTTCATTAAATTAATACGATTATTATTAAATTATTTTAAACATTGCGTTTTTGTTTTCAAATATATGTTACAATTTATCATTTTATTGTGAAAATAATTGAAATAGAGTGTTGTGTAAATTTATTCTCAGAAAACTTAATATTGATATCGACAGGGAGTGGTAAGGGCGAGTTGATTAACGCATGGGGAAAAAGTTTATGAAACTTTGAACTATTGTTTAAATAGGTGCATTCTGTAGATCATTAGATACATATGTTTATAACCACACACGCAAATATAGACTATAGACTCAATGATAAATGAATCGATAATACTAAAGCAGGTGTCTCCAAACTTCTCAACTCGAGGGTCGCATTAACACTTAAAAAGCACCAGGGCTTACTACACACAAAGGTCCAAATAAAAAAAGAATCAAAACATAGATTTTTTAAAATGATTTATTCAATAATTATTTTATCAAGTTATTATTTAGTATTTCATAAATACACCATACACAAACACTTGTATTGGTGGTAAAATGTGAAATTGTTTCCTGGATGCCAAAATAGCAGACATTTCTAGATTAATATTTGATGTCAACAGTAACCTTAGATTATCAAAGGAAAAATGTGTTCTCAAATTTTCTTCTGGTATTTCATTCTTGAAAATGTTTGTTCACACAGGTAAGTTGCTCCAAAGATTGAATATTACACTGATGCAAAGTTTAGACTTTAGGAAAGTCTCCCTTGGGCAAAAACTGAAAAACAAAACAAAAGGCCTTCTTTGAACTTGTCCCTAAGTAGGTTATTTGCTTGCAACTCAATGACCTCCAGCGGTAGTTCATTTGGGCAACTGGTCACATCTGCTTCAAATGGTTTTAAAACATTTTCTCTTCTTCTGCGTTTTAATCCCAGTCAGATCACCTCTGCTGAAACTGCAGCTGGTGGTCTTTTATAATTTTGCATTCAAATGACGTGGGAATCTCCGATGTTGCTTTAGCCATGAAGACCGTCTACTGCTGAAAGTATGTCAAGTTGTTGGGCTGTATTTTTAAAAAAAACAACAATATGAGTAATGATGTGTAGTGCTTTAGGTGGGTGTATAGATCAGAAACTAGATTTACCTCTCCTTGTAGTTTTGGGTTTAGAAAATTTAAATGACTAGTTATGTCTTCAGCAAAGAATAATTTCCATGCCCACTCTTCATCAGACAGTAATTGCTGTGGGTTGCATGTATTTCCTAGGAAGTTACCTATTTCCTTTCTTAACTAAAATACTCTGCTGAAAACTTTCTGTCATCCTACTGCTGCTGTGGAGTATGTTAGCTCTTGCGATTCTGTGACGGCCTCTTTCAACAGGTCTCTAAACTGTCTATGGTTGAGCCCATGTGACCTTATTAAATTCCCCATCTTCACCACAGGATTCAGTGCACTTCTAATGTTTTCATATTTAGCACACACACTTGCTGGTGATTAATACAGTGCAGGCGCATTGGTTGTAGAATTTTTTTTTTTTAATTACACATCTGCTTCATTTGTCCATCCAAGCCTTTATTTATGCCACTCATATTCTTTACTCCATCAACAGTCAGTTACTCCAGTTCAAGATATAATCAGCAAATGTTTTTTTCAACTCATTCAATATATCCTCACCAGAAACTGTGCCGTACATTCTATGTAAAGATGCCAGCTCTTGTGATATGTTCATGTCTTCATCCATACCTCTAATGAACACAAACAGTTGAGAGGCGGAAAAGGTGTCCCACCGATTCATCCATTGCTATTAAAAAATGGCCAAACTTGCTTGCATTTTTCGCTATTTGAGTCAAAATGTTTCACCCATTTCTGCAACACGGCAGGCACTAGTATTTGCACCATAAGCTACATTTTTAAGATGTTTTGATTTCTCTAGGTAAACTTCCTTAGCCACCACCAACAAACATTCCTTCACTACTTTACCATATGTAAACGGTTTTTCACTTTTAGCCACGACATAGGCAACTTTATAAACCACCTTAGTTAAGGATTCATTTTCATTTGATGATTTACTGAACAATGTCCTCTGAGATGGGAGTTGGTTTTGTAATTAATACTATTTTTCAGCACGGATTTAACGCTGCAACTGTGTCTCCTGACATTTGCTTTGATGATGACGCCACAGGTTTTATCCTTTCATCACAGCCATGGTTCCGTTGCAAATCACACACAAAGCTTTCTCGCCGGATTCGATAAAGACTTATTTTAAAATACATTGTTCTTGAAATAGCCGACACTCATCTTCTATTTTTTCTTTTCCTCTTATTGGCTTTCACTTGGCATTAAAAGAAAGGGAATTTAACTTGAATAAATAGTGATTTTGAAAATATCTTGCACATAACGTCACTAAAGAAACTGATTATGGGAAGTAAGTTCTTTGTAAGTTTAGCTGCAAATGTACCGAAATAATGTTTAAAAATCCGTATGATTTCTTAAGTTAAACTTACATAAAGTGTGCCAATGTATCCACTTATGCTAGAGAGATGTTTGCCTTTTATGATTCCTCTTTAGAATAATCGAAAAAGTATTACTAAACCAAAGGCATTCACAATACTTTCAACACACTGCTAAGTATATACACGAAGAAAATTACGACTAAATAAAAATAGAGTGCAACATGTTTAGCTATCACACGCTAACTGGCATCAACACCTCCTCATCGCAGCAGTCAACCGCAAAGGGGACATTGTGATCAAAATAATAAAATCTTGAATAAGCAGCAAACCATTTAAAAACGGAAGTAGAAAATTTAAGCAGCGAATATGGTTTTGCAATGGAATGATGTGTTGGAAAACTTAACGCACTAATCTATTTCAATTCTGTAAAAACATAATGTCGATGTAAGCGACGGTTGATCTTGGCAGGATACACGTAAATTTCAATAATTTTTTTTGGTCGTAGACAAAAATGTTTCCGCTGGCCGCACGAGAGGGTCTTGCGAGCTGCATGCTGCCCGCGGGCCGTAGTTTTGAGACCCCTGTACTAAAGGCTGACTAAAATACAGGCTCGCAGTCGGGGCTGTTTAACCAATTAAGCGATTGAGCATCGCCCGATTGACGAACAGCTCCATGGGCCTTAACCACGGTTGATACCTGCTAAGAAAAAAATATAATTATTAATAGGCAGGTAAAAGAAAGATTTAAACTAAAAAAAAAACACATTTTATTTCCAATTTGGTTTAAAATTATAAAGTATTTATATAATATTAAGGCTACGACTATTCGTACCGGGGTATTAGAAGTGAGATTTATGTATTTAATAAAAAAAACTATTTAAAATAGTATTGTTGGGTTTGTAAGACGAAATGAGGTATTAAATAAAAGATAATTGAGTGGAATATATATTTGTAAACGTAATTCTTCATTTTTAACTAAAATAAACTACCACAAAGGGCATCCGAGTTTCTTAAATCTAATGGTGCGAATGGCGGCAATTGGAATATAGCTTCGCAGTAAATTCCTTGGTAACTTCTCTACTTGATAAACTTATCACTATGACCATGTCTTCTTACATAAGAATCGTAACTGTCACCATTTCTTATCTTCGTCCCGAAGTGAAAAATTACATGATATGTTATGGTCCTGAACATGACTGGAACTAACTAACGCACATATTCTGGTGAAGGTCTGAGATTACTCTCTTATGACCCCGGCTAGTAAATTGGCTATCAACTCCATCTGTTGAGCTGAGCCATACAACATGTCCCTCACAAAGGATCCTCCAACCGCCCTGGATTCCCCTGGGAGATCTAGTGAAAGGGGAACTAAAAGGGCTAACCGGGTCGGAGGTTAGGGAAGTAGTCAATTGTAGTGGGTTTTCACGACAAGACTCGTTATTGTATTCAACATAAGCAATTATCCCGTGAATTTTTGACATTTGTTTTGAAACAAAATTTAAAGGATGCACCCTCACACCCTTATAATTGTTACCGGAAATTTGATCGAAAGAAATTTCGTCGACGGTAATTGATCGACGGAAATTTGATCGAACGGAAATTCAGTCGAATAATTTTTTAATTTTTTTTTCAGTTCACACGGTAAAATTTTCGTCAAATTTCGTTTAGAACGCACTATATACTGTATTGTGTTCAAAAAGAAATTTGAAGCAAAATTTTAACTTAAAAACTGAAGAAAAGAAATATTCGACCAAATTTTCGTTCGATCAAATTACCGTCGATCAATTTACCGTCGACGAAATTTCTTTCAATCAAATTTCAGGATACGCCTTATAAGACATATTTAAAAAAAAACAAAAAAAAACTATCTAACGTGTTTGTTGTGATTATAATATCTCCCTGTAGATCGTGTACAACAGCCAGGTAGGTGTACAAGTAGCATGGACAACACAAACATTCCTGACGATGGTGTCACTGGTGGGACGGGCAACACGGAGGATGGCGGGAAGACACCAGAGGTGGTGATGCGGCGGCCCAAGAATGTCTTTGAGCCCGCGTACCGCGACAGCGACCGGGTGGAGAGCAAGAAAGACGGAAAGAAACCCGGGGAGAAAGAGAAGCGCGTCAAGTGGAGCGAATCGACGGAGCTGAGGGAGAAGATGAAAGTGTACCGGAGAAGCCAGTAAGTATCTGGTGGGAAAGGTGTGTGAGGGGTGGGGGTGGCCTACGTCTGACCTAGAGGTCAGTAAGCACTTGAGGAAAGTTTGTGTGGAGGGTCTATGTCTGAATTATAAGTCAGTAAGTCTCTGGTGGAAAAAAAAATGTGTGGAGGGCTATGTCTGACGTGGAAGTCAGCAAGTCGCTGGTGGAAAAAAAAGTGGAGGGAGTGAGTTAGTTTCTATGTCTGAATTATAAGTCATAAAGTCCTTGGTGAAAGATGCGTGTGTGTGTGGGGGGGGGGGGGTTATGTCTAACGTAGATATCAGCAAGTGCATGGTGACTGGGTCTATGTTGAGCCGTATTCGAGGACATGAGGCGCAAAGAGCACGAACTTAAGTTGCGTCCCTATACAGCTTGATAAACCCCCCTATTTTTTTAATATATACTTAGGATTTACCACACAATACAGATTAGTGAGCAAACATTTTAGCTTATAGAAAAAAGTTAAACAGACTTTTAAGTAAACTCGATTTTTTTATCGAGATTGACAATTAATTATACGCTCATGGGTCATGACCCATGCCTTTTCTTGACCTACTCCGCCAGGTTAGACCTATGCCTAATGTCTGTTGTCTCTGTTAATACTGTTCTCGTTCAACGTCTGTTGTCTTTCAAAGTCTGTTGTCCTTCAAGGTCGAGATGATTGCTAGTTGCTTGATTGAGTGGTCAGGATAACAATGAATTTAAAGATGCTATTTTTTTTATAAATTTTGAATACAAATGAAGATAATGAATGAGGTTAAATATTTTCACTTCGTACATCCTGTTACAAGATTTTAATCAATTGTCATAAAAGTCCGTATGTGTTGCATGAATACATTTATTTGGAACTCTTCAAAAATGGAGACAATTTTATTTCGGTAAGACTCTGATAAAAAATTAATGGTGTTGCAATAATTTTCAATAATAAATTAAGCCTTTTCTAAAGTTAATCATGTAAGCCTATTTATCTGAAGATAATTTCTTTTTCAGTTACGGTTACACATGACTTATCGAACATTCTTTAGATTTACCTCCCCTTCCTCACGGAAACTCTTTTACGCGAATACTAATAGTAAATAGGCCGTCTAATTAAAATTAGGAACTACAATTTTTTCAATATAGGCTATATATAGGCCTATATTTTTTATCTATAAAATTATGCAATTCGGTAAAGGAGATGAATTTTATATTTTCTGTAAATGACTAACCTGTTTTTGGCTTTTCAAGTTGATCTATTCATAGAAAATGATCAGTTCATGTTGTTGAGTGCAATGTCAGGTATGTCTGTCACTGTCTGTGTAGTGGTAGTCTGTAGGCTACACTGTAGGCCTAGATCTACCATGAGTATGAGTCAGAGTCAGCACATCAATTAAAAATGTTTATATTTTCTTGTCATTAACAGATAAGTGGTGTTGTGTAAGTGCATTAAAAAAAAAATCTTCAACACAGTAACATTCCAAAATAGTTATTTATTATTTGGTTTTCTGGATTAAAATATTTATTTCCACAAATGATCTTATATCTTTACTTTATTAACTCAATTAACTGATCATGAATATAATTCTATTTTAATCATTTTCAGTTCAATAATGGGGGAATATTTTTTTTTTTTTTTTTTTTTAAATTTAAATTATAATTTTTCAGCACACACTTTTCAACTTTTTTATATTTTCAGTTCAATAATGGGGGAATATTTTTTTTTTTTTTTTTTTAAAGTTAAATTATAATCTTTCAGCACACACGTTTCAACATTTTTCTCCATCTAGAAACAGATTTCACCCATCTATTCTTATTTGAATGTGCTAAAAATAAACAATTAGGCCTATACATGATAATAAATTGTTAGAAGGATGAAAAGATTGGCATTTTTAAATACAATAGGGGTGGAGTTGGGGAGGGGTCTGCTCTGGGAATGAATTAAAATTTGTGGAAAATATATCTCAAACTGCCAATTCTGTCTCATTCAATTAGTGATATTACTTTATTGTACCAACGTAATGATAAATACAAATGTTTTGCATTCATCTTATGAAAATTAAAAAAATTTTCTGACTTAATTTCTGTAAACTGCTGTTATATGCATTTTACTGGTACATGGGTGTGAAAGATTAGCTACATCTATATTACCGGTATATAGGCGTGAAAGATTAGTTACGGTATAGCTAAGTAATATTAAAAATGTTTTAATGATCTAAACAAAAATAAAAAATTGTTATCGCACTACGGGTATACATATTCAGCTTATAAATAAAAACGTATCTTTTATTCCCATAAGGCTAGACATTCCATTAGATTACCATCATATTGCTGTAGAAGAGCAAAGAGAGAAAGAAGGGGTTAAGGTCTGGAGGAGCAGTCTTAGAGGTGAAGATGATGATGAAGAAATTGAGCTCAAAAGTAAGTAACATTGTAAATGCGATCTGGTTTATCCAGGGTAGCCTAAGTGATGAAAAAGAGTCATAGGAAAATGGAAAAATCTGGTTTTGTTAACTCTTCAAATGAATTTGATACTTGAATTTGAATTAATTTGATACTTGCATTTGATACTTAAATTCATTTGATATTTTAATTTGATAATGAAATTCATTTGCAAAGACAAATAAGAAATTGCATGTTCCTGTAGTTAATGAGGAGAAGGCAAGCTATAATAATATTTTTTCTATATTTGTCATTGATACATCTTGAAAATATGTGTTATTTTTTGTTATAGTAAACTCATATGCTATATGTTTCAGTATCACCCTTGGCAGCCACTGTCCCAGCAGCAGCCAGCTTTTGTACAGATGAAGCAATTTTTGTGGAAGAAAATTCTGAATCCACAGACTCAGATGCTGGTGACCCACTTCTTGACTTAGGTGATTTCTTGCAGCTGAGTTTCTGCAACTAAAACAACACTTTTTTTTAAAATGTCTATGTACCGTCTTTACGTAAGTAGGCAAATAGGGACCAGAGGCTCTATAACTGATGAACCTGTCAACTCAAACTTTGCTTGGTTTAAGTGATTAAAACATCCATGAAATATGTTGTGATGGACTACACTTCACAAAACAATGTTTACCAAATGTGTAAACTGGAGATCAATGTTATAAATAATTTAATAGAGAGCTGTCGGAACAAATGTGAAAAAGTTAAATGTTTATAATTTGCTGCAGTAGAAGAGCTTTATAGTGTCTGATCACCACAATTTATTTACAAAGAGAAAGAAAAAAATGTCCTCTGAAAAGGCACAGGGGACCTTTTTAAACTGAAGTTTAAAGCTGTCTAGCAAATATTCATAGTAAATTTCAAGCCTATAATCATGCAGAGTGTATTTGAAACTCTAAAAACATATTTGATACCAGTATACCAAATTTTTCATAGATGTATTGTGCTGTAGGAATTAAAAGAAAATTCTCCTTTTATAGGACATGATTTGTCTAATGTAGTTTCTATCTACAGGTTTGTTAGAAAATTCATACATTTGAATTTATAATCACTTTTTATGAACCTGGGATCAAATTCTACCACTGTTCAACTGTTGTACATTTTGAAACATATTATGATTTATTTTAATCATTATTTGAACATATATTTTGATTTTCTTTTTACTGTTTTCATATTTCAACTTCTCTGATAGATTTAGACAAGATGCTTCATGTGATCAAAATTAAAACAACCAAGTACACAGTGTACCCTGCATATTGTGCAGCTGTTGTAGCGGTGAGCCACCTTAAACAACTTATAATTAAATAAATAATTTTTAAAATTGATACCAGTAACTAAAAAGTCTTCTTTTATATTTATTCATTTAATTAATTTCATATGTGACAAAAACAGGATTATAATAGAAAGATCAATCAAAGAAATATTTCCTTCGTTATTATTTAGTTCTTAACATTTACCAAATCACCTTACTGTTTGGAAATGGAATTAGGCTGTTTTTATTAACAGGAAAAAACATTCTTTTGAGTTTCTAATAAGTTGTAATATCAAGTATATGTATAATATATCTATTAATTTGATACAATGTATGGTTAAATTTAAAAACTATTTTCTTTTTAAGTACGAAGAATGGTTATCGAAAAAGGACAACACAAATGATCTCTCTGATGATCGGATAGCCAATATGCGATCACAGCTGGAGTTGTATAAGAGAATTGTCTGTCTGTACGAGCAGTGGAGTGATCAGGATGATGATGACACGGCTTGTTCGAGATATGAGGAGATTTCATCCTTGCTTCAAAAAGCCACTGATCTTGGGGCAGCACCTCAGAATGTTACAAAACTTATAGTGAGTGATGTCCCATTAAATCATAGGCTATCGTTCAGTGTTAGAATAATATTTTATCTATAAATCTTTCTTCATAAAAGTTTGTATTGAAATAGATAGGCCTACAGTACTTATTAGAATTTTTAATTTATTTGAAAATAAAAAAATTTCATAATGCTACAGATTTTTTTAAAAACAATTAATAATAACTGATTGACTTTCAACTTCAAAATTCTAATATTTATGCTTAGAACTCAAAAAAAATCACATGAATTCTTTTGCAGTTACAAATTAAAAATAGTATTTTGTTTTCATTTGATCTGATTCCCACATTTTTCTCAGACTGAGGTCATCAATGATGAAGAAAATGCCCAAAAACAAGTTGATGTCTATAACAACATGGTGCAAGAAATGATTTCCACACTAGACACAGCCATTGAGGTGTGAATGATCGTATAGTGTAAACATGTTCAGTAGAATGATGTGGTGTGTTAGTTTTATAACATTTGTTGTAATGAATACCAAGGGCTGTTATGGCTTTGTTTACTTCATTATCTATTGACATCACCCAATCCCTTGCTAAAAATGTGTTGTTATTAAATACAGGTATATCAATTATTGCTACCAGTGTCCATGATTTTCATCTAAAAAAAACTTTACTCTTTCATTATAATAAGCCTTTGTACAGGTAAACAGCAAATCAATGGAAAAAAAAGTGATAATATAAAATCTTAAGATTTAATTTTAAATGAGTACATTTATTTATTTTTTCAGAAATAAAAGAAAAATAAAGTACTTAATATAATTAACTTATTTGTTTAATATGTTTGTGTAAAAGGGGGTGGAGGTAAGAGTTAAATAAAAACTTTGGTTCAAAAAGTTTACTAGTTTAATAAAAAATTGTTAATTAATTTTTCTCATCGGGAAAGTTTAAGTCCATCATTGTTGATTAAATAAAATATTCCTTACGTACACCATTAGCATAAATTATTTGAATGTGTTTATGTATCAAATATGTTCTTTGGATTTGTATATACTTTGTAATAAATCATGTAAATAACTGAGTTCAAATAGTACTGTCTCCTGAACAGAAGTATCACAAAATTTCTGTGTTTCATCTTTTAAACTAGTGTTGTCTTCATCATATGAAGGATTAAAGAATGTATTGAGTCAGTTGCTGAGAAGATCTTTCTGTTTGTAGTAAATTGTAGTGCTAAAATATGTATGTCAGTGGGTGTTGTAGATTTCTCTTCTTACTGGCAATAAATACAAGTAGTCTTTTTTGAAGATCTCATGTCTGAAATGCACATTTTTATACAAACAATGAAATAAAAGAAACAATACAAAGATTTATGAATGAGTGTGAGGATTATTACTCTAACATGCCTTTCCTTCGAGTTCAATTAGAATTTCATTACTGACATAATAGCTCCCAATAAACATACTTTCAAAAAAATATATATATTAAGTTTTTTTAATAATACATAGATTTGTGATATTTTTTAAGGTAGCACTCTGTAGGATAATTAAAATTATTTCCGTTATATTTATTATAAGGTCATTTTTTTTGTTGAAACTTTCATTAATTTTTTGTGATGTTTAATGTTTCAAAAATATTTTTAAAATTTTTAAAAACTTCCCACCAACGTAGAGAGATGAAATTTGGTTGACAACCCACAGTAGTCAGATGAAATAATTTAATCTCTCAAAGCTTGGCAGGTCTTCAAATTTACTGAATGAGAAGTACCTCAATTTAAAATAGTTCACTTAATTCTAAGTGTAACATTTAACTTTTATTGACTGCGTTGAGTCTAGAGAAGCCACTTTATTAAAAAAATCTAATAAGCCATATGCCAATAGTAATAGCATTTTAGTTTCATCCCTTGTGCTGGCGAGAAAGGACAATATCTAAGTCGCAGTGTTGTTAAAAGAGAAAAATCGCTGGAATTAATTTATTTTAAGTTATACGATAATTTGAATTTATAAATGAAAGCTTTCTTTAAAAACACCTGTCCCATCCTTTTACTTTTACTTATTAATTTCACATAGACTAGCTTCAAATTTTCGTCTCGACTAATCAATTAAATTTTATCAGCTAATTAATCCAAATCTCACCCGCTGTTTTCTGGAGGAAGATGAATTGTTAGACTTTCTTTTTATTTACCCTCTCAAGTCAATGTTTAGTCCAGTGCTTTGTAGTAGGAGATAATTTCAGAGTTTTGCGTTATATAATTATTATTGGGTGTGTGGCCCCACTCTGTACAATGGATTCTACAACACTCGCTCTCGCAATAATGGAGTAGCTACAGGCGGTGATCAGGGGTCACAAAACCGGTCCCTTTGACCCAAACCGGTCCCTTTGACCCAAACCGGTGTTTTCGATATTGAAGTTTGCGAATACCGGAATCCCCGTATATCCGCTATTGTCAATATTTAGAGAATTTTGCGTCAAGATTAGAGGTTGTCACAAATGACTGGGGCGGGGGTATAGGACAGAGCTCCATTGTTGTTAAAGTAACTTATAGGATGGAAGGAAACTGCTGTTAATGGGGTTAAGTTAAGGTTAATAGACTCTCACATCTTGATATAGTGGGGGATTGTTTCTTTGGATAATAGTATGTTCGGGTTTTCCAGACTGCGCATGATAATTTTTGGGTTAACAATGGGAAGGTCTAATTGACCGGAAATTAGAGGGCATGGGTGTGTTTATAGATAGCATTCCTGGACCACCTATGGGGGGTAGAGAACCACATATAAGATAGAGCTTTCACTGAGTTAAGGTTAGTTGAGGGGGAGTGAACAGAGGTACGACGAGTTGAGGAAGAGGGAAAGGAGCGACAGTAGTTAGTTGAGGAAGATAGAGAAGAACTACGGATTAGTTGAGGAAGATAGAGAAGAACTACGGATTAGTTGAGGAAGAGAGAGAAAAGAACTACGATAGAACTGAGCAGTTTTTAGGGAATACTTGCTAGAGACCAGAAGACGACAGATGATAGAAGAAACTTATATCTTAGAAATAAACATACTTTCATTATCGTTGGACACCTGGAGTTTGAGTTGTTGCATTTCGTCCAAGTCTACGTTGTGCTTTTGTCTGTCTCAACGCCTAGATACCCACAATATAAATCACAGAGACGAGCGGTCCTGTACTGACCACTACTAAGTCAACATAGTTTGTGTTAAGTCAGGACCGGAGCCCTCCTCCGTAACAACAGTTCTGTGTCAGAGGTGATGATTTAAAGGGGAAAAAAAACAATAACAAAATAAATAGCATTTTGATTTTAATACGTTTTTAACAATAACACAAATGTCTAACTTCAGAGATTATCAAATATTAAAATAATTTGTGTAGTTTTAATCTTTGGTCAAATTCATGTAATGAGATCGTAAAAATGACAACGTGTCAAATGTTTGATCAATTAATTTTGATCTTAAAGTTTAAATTTTTATGTAAATGTTTGGCTAAGTATGGTGCAGACAAACTGCGACATTTAATCATATAAATATTTGGTTAGGTACGGTACAGACAAACTGCGACATTTAGTCATGTAAATATTTGCTAGGTACGATACAGACAAACTGCGACATTTAGTCATGTAAATATTTGGTTAGGTACGGTACAGACAAACTGCGACATTTAGTCATGTAAATATTTGGTTAGGTACGGTACAGACAAACTGCGACATTTAATTAATCATGTAAATATTTGGTTAGGTACGGTACAGACAAACTGCGACATTTAGTCATGTAAATATTTGGCTAGGTACGGTACAGACAAACTGCGACATTTAGTCATGTAAATATTTGGTTAGGTACGGTACAGACAAACTGCGACATTTAGTCATGTAAATATTTGGCTAGGTACGGTACAGACAAACTGCGACATTTAGTCATGTAAATATTTGGTTAGGTACGGTACAGAAAAGCTGGGACATTCAGTCATGTAAATGTTTGGTTAGGTACGGTACAGACAAGCTGGGACATTCAGTCATGTAAATATTTGGTTAGGTACGGTACAGACAAACTGCGACAATTAGTCATGTAAATGTTTGGTTAGGTACGGTACAGACAAACTGGGACATTTAGTCATGTAAATATTTGGCTAGGTACGGTACAGACAAACTGCGACATTTAGTCATGTAAATATTTGGTTAGGTACGGTACAGAAAAGCTGGGACATTCAGTCATGTAAATGTTTGGTTAGGTACGGTACAGACAGGCTGGGACATTCAGTCATGTAAATATTTGGTTAGGTACGGTACAGACAGGCTGGGACATTCAGTCATGTAAATATTTGGTTAGGTACGGTACAGACAGGCTGGGACATTCAGTCATGTAAATATTTGGTTAGGTACGGTACAGACAGGCTGGGACATTCAGTCATGTAAATGTTTGGTTAGGTACGGTACAGACAACCTGGGACATTCAGCCTGGGACAAATAGCTCGAAAATCAATTATGAGGTGAAGGTGAATTATTAATATTGTTTTCACAAAATAGTAGTAACATACTTTTTCTATGTTTTAAACTTAAGTTATTTGATTATCAAAATACGGATTTACTCATAATTTTAAATATGTAGTTTTTTTGTCATATATAAAAGAAATCAAGCGATCAAACATTTTAGTTGTTCAATGTTGACTCCGTGATTCGAAGGCAGCGTGTTATTATTTCCATCTATTTCATGTTACACACAAACTGTTCATGTAAGTCAACATTCTCTCTTCATTCGACTAAACCAATCATTTATTTGTTAATAATATAAAAACATTTACTTTACAATCATGTACCGTCACGTTGCTACTCACGTCTCCACCTACAAGCTACACACGTCACACGCACTATGTAACAACAAAACTCACCCCAACGCCGTGATCGTTGACACATCAACAGTCCACAGATTTAGCCCGTCGGTCGGCTCTCATTGAACTTGATAAACGTGGTGTGAGTGGTTCGCACTCGGCACATCACATAAATTATTGAGATGTCTTGCTTTAATTACGACATGGAAACTAAGAAAAGCGATACATTTTTTTTTTAAAATGAAATCCCGGGATTATCGAAAATCCCGGGTTTCATAAAGCCAATCCCGATTTTTTTAGCATCAATCATGGTCCGGTTTTCCGGTATTTTCGAAAGTCGGAATTTTATTTAAAAAATCCGTATGCAAATGCTATGTTGTTTGTCATTTATAAGGTGTACGATTTCGGTAATTATGAAGGATATTGGGATATGTTTTTGATCGATGTGTTTCTGAGATTGTGGGGGGTGGAAAAAACGCATTGCGGACCATGGGGAAATACCTGGATACAGAGATCCTGGGGTCCAAGGCAGGGCCAGATCTACCTATAAGCTAAATAAAATAAAGCTTAGGGACTCACAATAAACGGAGGCCTCCAACAATTCTTTTAATGCATTTTTCCAATTTTTTTTCATCATCAGTGGCGCCACAGCCCATGTAGGGCCCTGGCCTCCTTCACCACATTTTCCCATTCGGATCGATCCATGTCTTTTCGCCTTCATGCGTCAACCCCCAAGTGATGTGAATCCTTCTCTATATCGTCGATCCATCTCAGTCTTGGTCGACTGGTGAGCCGTCTACTCTTAGGTTTCTGTCTGTAGATCAATTTTTCTGCTCTACAGTTCACCATACTTTCCATGTATCCTGTCCAACACAGTCTGCATTTTTGATTGGTGCGGTTGTGGGTGGGCCCTTGTACAGTTTACAAACAAAGCTCTTGGTTTTTACACATTCTCCAAACATCGTGTATTTTTTTTACTTCTTTAATTTTTAATTAAATTTTCTTTTACCTATTTTTTATGAGTATATATATATATATATATATATATATATTTAAATTAAGCATTCATCAACAATGACCATGGTACTTTCTATTTGAAAGTAATACTTCATGTCGCGTGCTGATTGGCTAACGATACTGAGAAGTCAACGTTTCTCTGTGTGTGTTTGGATCATTTGTAATGTCATAAAATTCAATAATAGTAACGTAATTTAACATTCATTTATTAAGTGAAGCTATTGGCTTAACCAATGGAAAGCTAGGATAGAGCCCCCTCTACTTAATCATCCACCCCTTTTAACCCTTATTTCTGTTTCCCTCCTCCCCTACCCCGATCAAAATTATAGAACCAACACCTTTTATCTACAAAAAACAATATCTCCTACTCCCTTCTCATCAAGAGAAATACAAGGAGGACTGCGTTCATTTTGAAGCAATAAGAAAGAAATGTTCACAAGGTAGAGGAAAACCTGAAGGGCAATACAAAAGAAAAAAAAAGTGTAAATTTCGGCAAGAAGCATTCAACAGCAAAAAATCAAAGACAAACATTTTGCTTGTACAGATATGTATTTGACAGGAAATGGTCGACATATTTAATCACGCAAGTTTCCCATGACATCAAAGCATAAATACTAAGGCTGACAGTAGGTTTAAAGTAGGCGAATTTGAGTAGGCTGTATTTGAGAAGGGTGGTCGTAATTTCCAAAAATGTAACCAATATTTTAGAGAATCTACTTACTCCCTTTTCTCGACTAATTCGTCTTCGTCGACTTTGCCTGTCTGATGATGACTCTTGGGACAAGGCACTTGAGATGATTGACCATTTCCGCTAAACGTCCTACCCGGAGACAGTACTTTTATCAGCCTTTCAACGGGCTAAAAATATCACTCGTGCTTATGCCTTCAGGCCTCGTCCGAGTCGGAGTCACAATGTTGACAGGACAAAACATATTCTCATAGATCGTCCTTACAATCTCATAGCCAAACACGTTCTGCTTAAAAACCGCGCCATTGTCCTCGCCGACCCTCACACCCAGAGGCGTAGCGTGGTGGGGGCAGGGGGGACAGATGTCCCCGGGCGCCAGCTAGTTAGGGGCGCCAAAATGTGCTTTGATATTATTTTATTGATGAAAATAATGGGTTTGAGAGTTGAAAAAAAGAAAGAGGGGCGCTTTAAAATGGAATTTGTCCCCGGGCGCGAATCTTGTCCCCGGGCGCCAAACACCCTCGCTACGCCACTGCTCACACCCACAATATTTTCTCAGCCTCGCCACTCCTTGTATTCAGAAGAGATACGAATCTATCAGATCTATTTGCGAGGAGCAAATAACGTATCTGTGGTAAGACTGGACAGCGTCTCTCGGACAGGTACTGAACACTTTCATAATATTTAGCTAGATTGACAGTGTCATATCTCAAAACATTTCAATAGAAGCTATCACAGGGGCTTCGGGGACCTGTCTATGACCACCATGGTGTTTTGTACCAACACGCCCGCCAGGGTGAAGTAAGAGAACAAACTGATTCAGAGACTTATGGGACCTTGTGGACTTTGTGACATGAATGATCTATTCCTTCCCTTGTTAAATATTTTAGCCACCCCCACCCCTTGTTACAACCAATCGCTGTGGACTTTATTATAATTTTTATATTGTTTTTACCGGTGTTGTTAGCTGACATGTTAGTTGTTTTGTTTCGTCTTTTTCAGATTCTAACATACTTCGTTGCCCTTATGTATCATTTTTATTACAGTACACAGTACATTGATCTTAGATAGCGCGGTACCTCCGCCTAGGGCTGGGCTAACCGAGCTTCACATAAAAAATATTAGCAAACATAATCATACAATTTTTAAAAATATATAACCTGATTGCAGTCTCTCCCAATTATCTTTAATGAAAAATGAAAAGTAAGCCAAGCTGTAATACCAATAATGTATTTTAGCTATGAAAATGCACGCTAAGTTTAAAAACATATAAATGGTAAAATATTGATAAGTCAGTTTCTGTCGATACACAACCCTTACTTTCTCAATGCCCTTCTAAATTACTCTCTATATTTCTAAGAACAATCAACCTTTTGGGTCGCCACAACGTATTAAATATTATCAAAGGGTCACGACACAAAATGTTGAGAAACAGTAAGTCAACTCATTTGAGTAGCCTAATACTGGTTTCATTTCCTTCTTTCCGTTAGTTTATCTCTCTCGACAACAAAAATTAACTATTATTAAATGTTTACTTTTAATCTGGAAAGATAATCAGGGATACTTTTTACGGTTCATTAAGGGTTCGGAAGACAAAGAAGAGGAAGACAAAGAAAAAGATGGGAGGATAACATCAAAGAGTGGACAGGACTAACACTGGGCGATCTGTGCGTAGTGCAGAAGAGAGAGACGAATGGAGGAGGATGGTTCACATGTCATCTGTGGCGCTCCAACGGTCCAAGGACTAAGGGACATGATGATGATGAAGGTTCGGAAGGGGGAAAAGCGAATTTTTGTAATGTTTTTCAAACTATTAAAAATATCGGATTTTCGCCAGGTATAACTTATAACTCATTTGTGTATGAAGTTCAGGATACAACTACTTGAAGGGAAATAATGCGAAATGAAAAGTTAACATAGCTGTTGCGACATGTAAACAAAAGAAGGCGAGCTTGAAAAAATAACCATATAATATTTCTTTAAATCAAATCAGTTGCTCCGTATTCTAGTAAAATTAGTTTCATGCCAATTTATATTTCTTTTCCTAAACTTTCCAATGACACAGTCTGTTGTTATCCAAGGTAACTTGAATATTATATTAATATAGCGATTCATTCAATATTTAAAAAAAAAAAATAATGATAAAATTGTTTTGCCTGATTCTCACTGATTGGTCTTGATTATGACAATTAAATTATGATTCTAATATTTATTTGACTGGGTAGTTAGAATTCTTTAGGTTAGGGTTAGGGCCTAAATCAAAATAATAAAACATATGATAGGACTAAAAATGACAGTCCAGGAATAATTACGAAAGTGGCAATATATTTTAATATTTAGTTAGAATAATATAGTTATTCTAAGTTATATAACTAGCTTGACTTATAATTTATAATATACTATAACTAAAGGATAGGGATAGGTAAGGCTAGACATTTTATTTTTTTAAAATTAGTAACAAGTAAATTAATCATATCGGCTACTGCCTATCCATATCCAGCAATGGTAATGATCTATGATACTAGGCCAATTGTGCATAATATGAGGGTACTCGCCTATGCAATTAAATTAATTATTATTTTCTGATGATCAGAATATAAGGATATTTTTAGCCCTGTGGCATTTTGGGCCGATAGCCAGAGTAAAGAATAAAGATTCTGTCTTGACTCAAGCAATTATGAATTGATAAATTTTATTCATAAATGATGTAAAGCATCTCAAGATTGGTTAGGAGGCTGGGAAAGGGGCTACTAAACATATGTGGATGAAATGTCATGAGATTATCAAAATTTTGTGTCGAATTTGTGACAATGGCAAGGGTAAAAAATCTGCCAAAAATGGTGTAATATCATTTATGCATTACCCTTAGCTGTAACTGTAAGTAGTTTAAAATATCTTAGCCCTTAGGTAGCTGATAACTTTTTCAAAAATACAGGAACCTCCCCAACCTTCCTACTCTTGGAGTTCCTGAAAGGGAGGGGTACAAGATTTTTAAAAAAATGTCCATTGTTTATTTTGTCCCAGACGTAAAAACCAAAGATCCTATTATTAGCTATTGAAATGAGTAGCCTACTAATAGGAGGAGCTTTTTATATTGCCAATCGTTTATTGCTATAATAAATTATTTGTGAGAACAATTCAATTATCAATGATAATGACGCATATGTTAATATTTCATAAGTTTATATTTAAAATTCTTTATTGTGGTTGGTAGCCATTGTGTTTACCACAAATAACGTAGTCATTGTATAATCATCATCATGGGCTCTACTACAGCCCATGTTGTAGGGTCCTGACCTGCTCCACCACATCCTTCCATTGGGATCAATCTAATCTATGGCTTTATGCCTCCATTCCCCCCCCCCCCCCCCGGTTGCAGGGGTTGATGAAAGCCCTTCTCTACATGATCAATTCATTGAGCACTCTGACCCTAGAAATATTTTTAAGCAGGCCTAATTGAACATGGAAATTCTTTATAGGCTAATCTGCCTACATCAAAGATAGAATTACATTAGGTTAAATAAAGGCGGCTTTGAGCTGTTACATGTGAAACGCATCTGAAACATTAGCAATGGCCTATGGAGCATCATTTTTCTTTTAACTTGTTGCAGTTGGGCAATGTGGAAACCAGATAGGATGCAGATTTTGGGACTTGGCTTTGAGAGAGTATGCTCATGTTAACAAGGTAACATTTTAATGATAGTATAGATTGTATTTGTATTGAGCATGTTTTTCTCAATAATAATGACCCCAAATCACTATTAGTATTAGAATTTCCGTGCATGTTTTATATATTGAAGACTTAGTTGTAATATACAAATGTGGTTTCAAAAAGAGACTTTATTTGATCTATGCACACACAATGTAAACCTCCTGGATATATTACAAATGTAGGCCATAGAGATACTTAAGTCCTAATTAGAAATTGTTATCGCTTAGATTAATGATAGTTGAAAAAAAATATATAATTGAAATTGGCATACTTGATTTGATTCAAGTTCAATGCTTGAAACAACAAAGATGACTGATTTACTTGTCATGCTATCAAAATTTTGGGATTCTGCTAAAACACCAGAACAGAAGTCACATTTTATGAGGGCCTCAAATCTCAGGTTATAAAATTTTGTCTTGGTTAAAATATGTATTTATTGATGTGAGGTGATGAAAATGAATATGTACAATGATGTAATCAAAAAACATTTCCAATTATTTGGATCAATAAAAGAGTCTTATCTTAAATTATAAAGTAGATATATCATAATTATCAAACAAATAAAAGGACTTATTTAATCACACCCATACATTTTCATGTAAGTTTTAATTCAAGTTTTTATTTAATTTCAGAATGGTGTTTATGATGAATCAATTGGGAGCTTTTTCCGCAACGTTGACAGTAGACATGAAGATCCAGCTAACATTCCTTTAGGACATGGGAAAGGAAAGATCAAGTCACTCAAAGCCAGGGTAAATTTAATCTTGTGGACAGGCCTAATCAGTTCAAACTTCTATTGAATATATATATATATAATAATAATAATCAAAAGCTCGAAGCGCGGTACAAAGTCAACCATATTAAAAAGAGAAATAAAAATAATCTAAAATTTACCACATTTAAAAACAGACACAACAATATAAAGCTATATACGAGGATACCCAGTCAAAGTCTTTCATCCCGTTTCAATCATAAGCAACACAAGCCAATATACATTAACTGAAAAGATGGTAGATAGCATCACCCCAGAAGGTGTTTGCGAAATAGATATGTTTTTAAATATTATATATGTGTGTGTTTGTATGTCTAAATGCATGCTATTTAACATTTAGTCTAGTAGTGTTTTTAAAAAAAATCTATGAGAACCCAATGTGTGACCTTTCACGCTTTCATTTGTGGTTGAAACGTATGCTGCAATCGAATGCGAATAGTCTCTTAAGTCAGCCTGAGAGCTGTCCCAGAAACCATGCAGATATTCAGTTCCCCTGTGTTCTCAGTGTGGAATATATTTGTTGAAATTGCATATTTTGATTTTGTAACATGCCAACACAAATCTGTAATGTTTTTGTTATATATTACTTCATTAATTAAAAAAAAGTTTATCCGAGTTAGTTAGCACGACATTTATAATTTATTGCCAAAAAGTAAACATGGCCGAACTTAGCTGCATACCTATTGATTAATTATTTAATTTTGCAAAATAATTTAAAAACACTTTTCCAAACTGTTAGAGTTTACATTTAAATCATGTAAGAATAAAAAGCGTTTGGTAAAAGATTAGCTGTTTATCCTTCTTGGGGTGAAATGATAAATACTTCAACCAGTCAAAAAATTTGACAAGCTTGCAACTACTTGGTTTTTTTTTCAATTCAATAATATTGAGTTTTAAAACGTATGTTTAAGTTTATTTCAGGGGTGGGTGGGTGTCGTCATCAAATTGTAATTTTATAATGTCAGTATTTTAATTGCCCCATTACTATCAGGCTGTGCTTGTTGACATGGAGGAAGGTGTTGTGAGTGAAATGATGAAGGGACCTCTTGGTGAAGTCTTTGACTGTAAACAGCTGCTCACAGACGTGTCTGGCTCTGGTAATAATTGGTAAGTAAATCAAAGCATCCAGTATTTATTTTAAATCCAGCTAAGAGCGAAGGAGTGTCACCTCTCGGCATAATAACCTATTTAGGAACTGAATGATACCAAAGCCAGTCATGGTAGTCGATGAATACTTGCATCATATGCAAAGCTCTGAGAGTTTGACAGTAACAAGATAAATTGACATCCCCAGCCAGTTTACTATAAATTTTTGTGGGAAATCAATACAAAAATGTCTATGTTTAATAAAAATAGACCACATTTCTAACAAATTTATATTGGGTTGTATTTATTTATTTCTTGTGAATTGATTTTAATTTAGCATGATGTTGACCTCCGCAAACTAATTTCTTTACCTGAATTCCTGCAATACTGTCACCAGGGCAACAGGCCACAAGATGTATGGGAGCCAGTACAGAGAGAATCTATCAGAAGTTGTTCGCAGAGCTGCAGAGTTTTGTGACTGCCTACAATGTTTCTTTGTTTTACATTCCATGGGTGGTGGTAAGTCTTTCTGCTACTCAATACAAATTTAACATTCTTAAATTAATTTTTTATTACTTCTAGTTTTTTTTTTAAAATCTAAATGTATCAAATATTTGATCTTTAAAAATTAATCAGGATCATTAAAACATTTTCACTTTATTCTAAGAAAGATACCGCTTTAACTGTAACAAATATTTGTATGTACTTTTTTCTTCTTTTTTTTAGAAATTGAGCTTTATAACAAAATGCTCCAGTTGTACTAATTTGTTGTAATATAAAATGTTTTCAATAATTATGTGGAATTTTAATTTAAGAACAAAATACCCAATCAATGACTTGTTTTTAAAATGTAAAAAGATTACATGGTGGTAACATTTTTTAAAATTCTTTTCAATTTCAATATCTTACATACCTATGATTTTTGTATATTTATTATAATTTGAGCTAACAACTTAAACATTTTCCTTCAATTAATGTAACACTCGCAACTAGCAGACAATTCAATTTATAAGGCAAGATTTTATTTTTAAAAAACTATTGGCTTTTATTTTCCGCAAAGTTTCCATAAAATCAAATTAAGAATTATTGCATTTTTATCTCAATCTAGCAAAGTCATAAACATTAAAGTACATTCTAGCAATATGACTAAGAGCTAAAAATCCACGATTCTTAAAACTAATTATTATTATATGCTCATGCACTTAATGACTGTATATATATTATAGTATAGTTAATAAAATAATTAATTTTTCATAGATAATTTTTACTAAAATAATGCTAAAACAACACTATGTGAAATATTGTTTATGAATTCAACCAAGCATTACAAAACATAATAATGATTATAATATAAAAAATAATACTAGCTTTATCTATTCAATGCATCATTCATGAATATATAACTTAATAAGCTGCTATCAAAACTAGTTTTACAATGCTGTGAAAGATAGTATCTACATTCTTAAGATTGTATTCAGGGGTTTACAAGAAAAACTTTACATAATCAAAATAAATGTGATATAACATTTTCAAAAGTTTCTAAAAAATATCAATAACAATAAAAAACATGTCAGCTTTAAATTTTGCTGTTTCAAAAAATATATATAGAATTTAAATCAAAATTTGTCTGGTGACCCTGACATGTTGGATTTCCAGAGGAATGTTTATAGTTGTTAACTACTCAAGGAAGGTATGAGTTATCTCAATCAAACGTAATTTTTAAAAGTCATTTAAAAATAACTATGTTACTGTAAAGTTTACTTTTTTTTAAAAATATAATTGTTTCAACACTAAAAATCCCTTGAATTTTCTGAAAAAATTTACTGCATGCAGGTTTTGCAAATGATTATTATTTCTTTCTTCATCTAAACATTTCTCCATGTATCCCACTATCAATGAAAGTATTTTCTATGATAAGTGGTTTGAACTGCTGTTGAACTCAAACAGTTTAAAATACTTTTATTGCAGCCTGGGTTTACATCAAGTTTTGTTTTGCCCTCCATTCAAGTAACATCAACCTTCACTGATCTTACATTTATAGTCTTTAAGACAATGTTCTTGTGAATCCCCTCTTTAACTGGTGTCAGCGTGTACATGAATTTGAAAAGAATACTTAAGAAAAAAAAAAAAAGACAATTACATAAGTACTAACTCACATGATGATTCAGAGCATATAATTTCTTTAATAGATTGTTACCAAAACAAGAAAAGGTGTTTCAAAATATTGATACCGGTACATCATATTATTTGGAAGTTTAAAAAAAATATATATTATCAGGTAACACCTATTTAAATACTGTCAGTGTCTGTTATGTCATACTATTTGAAATTTCAAAACTCTAGAAAAGTGTTAACAGATAAAACCTATTTAAATGTTGTCACTGTTTAAAGCCCAATTTTAAAAAAAATAATAATAATTTACAGACCTAACAACAAATCCTCTTATACTAATACACTTCATTTTTAAAATATGATCATAAAGACAGCAGGTCTATTTACAAAGTATCACATAGTAAGTAATAAATAGTATTACAGAAGAAGTTAATTTGACTTGGGAAGAGAAAAAAGAAATCAAAGAAGTTATAACATCATAGAGTAACAATAAAATTGCACAAGGTTTTTTTTCTCCATAATATTATTGTAAAAAATTAAACATTAAAAAGTGGGCTACACAAAAATATTTTTTTTACAGAAACATTGTTTCACAAAAATAATATTAACTGCTAATGAGTATGAAAACATAAATGTCAAATGTTCAAACAATATATGACTAAACATTCTTAGAAACAAAATAACAGCCAGTCAATGGAAAACCACACACATTGGCATTCATGAATTAACACTATAAAACAATGTGCCAAATAGTCTCCTGGCAAGGGGCAGATTTGGGAAATATACTAACAGTCCTCATTAAATACAGTCAGCACAAAACAGGTAAAAAAAAATTAATAATTTGTTAGAAACTTGAACACTTGATCAAATTTTATTAAAAATCTTTTGAGTGACAGATGTCTAACAGCAAGGCCCTATCATGCAAGTTGAAGGCTGAAAAAATAAGGGATAAGAAATATGTGATGAAAAAAAAAGTCAGATGCAATGATTATGGGGCAGCTTTTTGTTAAATAAAATGAGTTGGAGGCAATAAGAATTACATTATTAAAATTCTTTCGATTTAAATTGCTTGGTCTCTGTTGAAATAAATTAAACTTGACAAAATTATGTGTGAAGCAGCAACATGCTTGCGTGTTAGTACAGTTTTTAAATATACGACAGATGCATTTGATCATTGAGTTTAGATTGTTACTTTGAGTTTTGTCGCATGCAGCTAATGGATGTTGGGCACATTAAAGGCACTTTATGTTGAGCTTTCAACAGGAAACAATTTGGGAAATTTCTTCTCATAAAAATTATTTTCTTGTCAAATTCCTGCAAAGCATAACTTTTGAGTCTAACACCACAAAAATTAGCTGCCTTAGCTTTTTTTTTTTTTTTTTCACATCACTTTATACTTCAGTAAAATTAAACAGAGTATAAATGTTAAAAAATGAACCATATCATGCAAATAATTAACCGGATAGATATGTAGCATGTAAAGATGTTGGAGGATTCAAGGAGTGGACTATAAAAGAAAATTCCATTCAACAACAAAAACATAAAAATTATTTTCTTGTCAAATTCCTGCAAAGCATAACTTTTGAGTCTAACACCACAAAAATTAGCTGCCTTAGCTTTTTTTTTTTTTTTTCACATCACTTTATACTTCAGTAAAATTAAACAGAGTATAAATGTTAAAAAATGAACCATATCATGCAAATAATTAACCGGATAGATATGTAGCATGTACAGATGTTGGAGGATTCAAGGAGTGGACTATAAAAGAAAATTCCATTCAACAACAAAAACCCACAAAAACATCAATATTTTAACTGCTTGTTTTAATTTAAAATATTTCTTGCTCTATATAAATATAAGTGAAGAGACAGCTTTATTCATTGTTAGTTGTATTGTAAAGTTGCATGAATTTTATCATCAAAAGTGGAATAGCCAGCTTTAACATTTTAATATGTAATCTTCAATAACAGTATCTGAGGTTCAGTACAGAAAGATTTTGGTCTATAGGGTATAATCTTGGCTTAGACCATACTTTGACGTTTTAGTGCATAATGATCCGCCAGCGTGCAAATTCCATTCAAGTTTTCCTCCGACGCTGCTAAGAAATAACATAAAAAATTGAATAATATTTAAAACATGTGAATCAATCTGAAATGTATCAACACAATCTGATTAGATTTATCATTTTAATAAGAATGTATGAATATTTTTCTGCTGTAAAGTTAAAAATAAATATCAATATCATACTGAATATGTTACCTTGTAAAGTAATTTTAAAATATTACATGGAATTATTTATGAGTCTCAAATGTGATTATCGTTTAATGAAAGACAGAGAGATAATAAAATTGAAGTGACTGAGAAAAAAACATCAATATTGCCTGAATTAACAAACAAATAAATATAAGTTAAATTAAAATAAGTTGACTAGAAAAAACATTGTTATAATCTTTTCTAATCTGTTAGAATCAAATTACTGAAATATGTTTATTAATTAAAACAAATAATGAAGATTGTAATTGATTGTTTTTTTCCTTTAAAATATCATCACAATATGATTACTGATGCTTACAATTTCATAAACAGAAAGCTCTTTTTTTTTTAAAATACCGGTATAAATATTCAGGGTGTTTAAAGTTATCTTGCATTACGTACCGGTAACATATAAATAATAGTTATCATAAAAAGTTATGAAGAGTTAACATTAAGATGCTAGTACATTAAAAAAATTACTGTAAGGAGACTTTGAAATTAAAATAAACATTAAAAAGCAGATACTTATTATTAGTAATTAAATCATGTTAATTTTACACCAAAAAATGTGCATAAGACCAACTCACGCATTTAGACAAATTTCTTGAGTTTGATGCTTTTAATTATTTCCAGCTAAATGAAATAAATAACCCTTCAAAAGCTGCATAGCTTATTAGTGATGATAGGACAACATTGATGTGGGTTATTATATATGTAAAAATAAGCAAGGCAAAAAGTTTTAGAACGAAATGAATGAATATAATGGAATAAATATTTAGAATATTTATGCACCGGGGTAAACACTTAAAAGGGTATATTTTTGTTTTTTTCATTTCTTTCTTAACCCATCTTTGCACATATCCAAAATCACTGGCTGTCATGATTATTCTTTCAGTTTAGTTTTTTTAATTGTGTACCCCTGTACATAAATGCAATATGCTATGTAATATAAGGTGAATAAAACTTTACTTGAATCACATAACCATGCACTTAACATGTTACCGTACCTACATAAAATATGATACACTGTTTAATTTTTTTTTAATTACGTCGCCTATAAAAATTAAAATATAGAGACATGGGCACCAATACTAGCATTTAACTCAAATTCCACTTTCCGATAAAGAATTACCTTAGAATAACCTTCTTCATTCAAATTCAAGCTAATTTTAAAGGCAGTGTCTACACGTCCGGCGCGCCGGACGTCTATCTCCCGCACTATGTGTCCGGCGACCAAGTCACATGACCGCCGTAACAAAGTGGCGAGAGATATCTTGTCGGTCAGCCTTGTCACGTGACTGCGAATAATTAAAAACTATTGTTAATTTTAAAATCTATTTCTCTACCAAGTAATGTACTGAGTATCTTGAATGCAAATACTAGAAAAAGAAACTTAAGTGAAAGTGGCTTGTAAACATTTTTGTTTAGTTTGTTATTTTTTGTGTACCAGTAATCCATAAAATAAATTAGGGGCCAGTGTGGCAACCAATAAAAGTTAAAGATTTCATTTTAAATTATTTCAATTGCTACAAAATATTTAAAAACTTCTCATGAAACTACTGTTGCTGAGGAACATGATAATATAAATATATACAAAATATTTTAATTAAAATGGGAAGAAAAAAAACGAAAAAACGACCCTATCCCCGGTATAGATCCTCAAACATTCCTATCGTCAAGCAACCACTCTACCACAAGACCAGACAAGATGTACTAAATCGTACTTCGTTTGGAATTATAAAAACTACTAGCCGTCCGGCCATGTCCGGCGGTCACGTGACAAGTCGCCGGACGTGTATCTTGTGCACTACACGTCCGGCGCGCCGGACGTGTAGACACTTCGAATTTTAAAAGAGAAGATGGCACCATAGTCTTAGATTTTACATTACTGGTAGTTAATGAGATTATATTTCTAGCTATGTGTTTTTAATGTCATCATTTTATCTAAGTGTTAGTTAAAAATAACAAACATCCATATACAAAAGTTAAAAGCAAAATAAAATAAACTTTCTAATTTTTTTTAAAAAATCCAATTTTTATAAAGCATCTAGTCTAAGTTCTACTTTTAACAGTCATACATCACTTTGGAAAAAGAAATGCTGACGCAGTGCTTACAATTCCTTCATGATGGTCTTTCTGCTTATGATTAGATGAATACACTCTGACTTCTGCAAAATATGGACCTCTTAGTAAGACAGCTATTTTCCCAGTAGGTGTGACTGCAACATTCACCGGTTTTACATTTTCTCCCAACTCTGATGTATTTTTCACGACAGTGCTGAGATAGCGTCCTTTAGAAGAGAAGGCTTCTACTCTGAAATTGCCACTGTCTGCCACAATAATGTTATCATCATCATCAACACAAACACCCATTGGGGCAAGGAAATTACCGTGATTGTTCCCAGTAAACCCAAAACGATGTTTGAACTTCCCATCACTGCCGAAAACTTGGACTGAATTGTTCAGTTTATCAGTTACAATAATGTGATCCTTGGAATCAACAGCGGTGAACCCTGGGTGTGAGAAGTAACCATCGCCATTTCCTTTACGACCAAACTTTACTGAAAGCTTCATTTGATTAGTAAGAACATACACACAGTGGTTCTGTGTTCCTGTTAGTGCCACACCACCATTATTCAATTCAGCAATGCCACAGGGCTCCTCAAAAGTGAAAAATTTTCCATATTCTGCTTTACACTGACCTGCCATGGTGAAATGGCGTATAGCAGCAATATTTTTGTGAACAGCTGCTAGAATTTCATCTCTTTTTGTAACTGTTATGTCCTTAACCTTGCAGCCACACTTGAAAGCTGTAGTGAGTTCTCCTCCACTATTGAAGATAAATATTCTGTTTTGATCTCCACCGTTGTCAGAAACAATGTAGTGGCCACCTTGACTAACAGCAAGACCTATGGGTTTTAAAAAATCTCTATTGGCTGAGCCTTGCTTTCCAAATTTAAGCATGAGATTTTTAGTGCATGCCACACTTGTCTGTTCAATATTAGGTGGTATTTGAGGATATAAAAGTGGAGAAGTTCGAGATGGCATATTTGAAAATGTGTGATTGTCATTTGACTGGTTCCCATAGATGTGACTATGATTTTCATTGTTTATATCATGGACAATTGGAACCCTTGTTATTGGTAGACCTAAATGCGTTCCGTCAATAGTAATAGCATTTAAATTCCATCCTATGGGAGACACAACATTTCCTACATTAGACGGTATGCCAGCTATATTTGGGTAAAATGCTTCTCCTTGTGGATAATAAGATGGTGGCTTGATGGGCTGAATATCTGACTTTATATGTAAACCTGGTGTTTCATTGGGATTAATTTGTGAAGAGGGCAGACCATTTCCTGGTTGACCAGGTTCTGAAACAACAACAAATTCATCTAAGCCTAAATCCTTTGTTTTCTCATTTTTATAAGTGACTGGGGCTGAAGGCGACTGTCTTGGAACAACAAGCCATTCTGGACTTGAATCATTGGTACAACTTTTAGCCATGCAACCGTCTCCTAAGTCATGGTTAGTGTCAGCAACACTGGAATAGGGTGGTGGTTCTACATTTTCCGTGAACTGTTGTTGCTTCCCTCCACAACAAACGTTTTCGTCATTATATTCTAGCTTCTGGGGGAGTGTTGGCCCCAGTGATCGCCTTGGTTTTGGCACCGGTCTCATCGGGCTAGCTTTCTCAACCGTATCAGACAATGACGACATAAGATGGTTATCTGGGAATCCTTCCACTCCACTTTTTGGCATTGTCGTATCCCGCCGACAAGTTGGACACGGAAAACAACCATCACTTTCGTATCCACGACTCACAATGTAGTCATGCAGACATAATTCACAGTAGGTGTGTAAACATGGTAGAGCTTTCGGTTTTATAAAGTTATTTAAGCAAATTGAACAGGTTAAATGATCTTCTCTGATCTGAGTTCTTAGTAAAGTCGACATTTTGTTTATATTCAACGCTCCACTTCCGCTTTCTAAATTAAAAATGACTCAACATTTTATGAAACGCTGGATCAAACATAGATATATTCAAAACGAATTTATCAAAGTAATGCGTGCCTTTTAAAGTTAACTACAGTCTACTTAATTGTAAATTTTTCTTCTGTCAATTCACAAATTAATTCCAATTATAAGATTGAATTCAATTGGTAGTGTAGATGTTTCTGCGACCATTTTGACTATGTTGATGCCTCCCACCCCGATTTTTTTTAAAGCCTAACTGGCAATACTATTTTAAAACTATTACTAAAGCTGGTGACAGGTGTTTATATTTATAGCTGTGGTTCTCAATTATGTTTGCCCTGAGAACCATTTTAAGGTTCATAATATTTTTATTCAACACCCAAATAATGAACCGTAAAGTTAATGACTTATTTTCAAATTAAAAAATCTTTGTGTTTATTTCATAGCTTATAAGGGGTCATGCATAAATGACGTCACGCAAATTTTGCCGATTTTTGACCCCCCCCCCTCCCCCATCTTAACAAATCGTCACAAAAAGTTAGACCCTCCCTCAAATATAACGTCACAAATCTCTGCCCCACTCCCTAACCCCCCAAAAAATCAGTTTTTCATGTTTCTCAAGGAGTAAAATATGACGACAATCATTTCACAAAATAAAATTCCTGATAACTGCACTAAATGAGATTCTTCTAAAAAAAAATATCCCAAGTGCGTTTAATGCGTAATATTTTCGTTTGTTTTTCTGAAATAGTGAAATAAATCTGCGGTGTAAATCAAGCGGGTGGGTCATTATAATGTAAATATAGTTTAGGGGCATGAAAAAATGTGCTGTTGTGAGCCTGGTTTGGAAAAAAAGGGGGGGGGGGGAGAAATAATTGGGATTGTTATAAAATTCTTTACTTGTATTCATTTTTTGTCCAATTTTCATCACCCCCCCCCCCCAAAAAAAAAAAAATTGCTATATAATACATTTTATAAAGTAATAACACGAAAAACTTAGTTTTTAGAGATTGTTTAATTATTTATTATTTAAGAGTTATTAAGTGAAAGTTTTGACGTCACTGATCGTTTGCTTTTTTTAAAAAAAATGATTATTTATTCATTTATCCTACTTTTTAATATAAATTCTTCTGTAATATATAAAAGTTCAGCTGTAAAGCAGCTTTACAGTATTTTAATTTCAATTCTATTTGTGCATAAAACAAACAAATTTAAAGACATTTGATTTGGTATATTTTTTAATTAAAGAATGAACTTTTTTTTAAAGAGTCATAGTGAATGTGTTTTTAGTTTATGCTAACCATTGTAATGCAAAACAGATGAATTGAATTACTTTTTTTATACAGCAAAAGCTAATGGGATTGAGTTCTTTAAATGGAAAATTAAAAAGAGGCGGGGGGGGGGGGGGGGTTTAGGGGGGGTGTTTTGATATTATTTTGCATGAATTACTTTTTTTATACAGCAAAAGCTAATGGGATTGAGTTCTTTAAATGGAAAATTAAAAAGAGGCGGGGGGGGGGGGTGAGTTTAGGTGGGGTGTTTTGATATTATTTTGCATATAATGGTGTTTGTAGAAATGATAAATTTTTTTTGACTAGCGAGAGGGGTGCATGTTTGACACTGTGAAAATCACACCGAACAACACATTAATTTTATTCCGTTGTAGGATATTAACTTTAAAAATACATCTTTACAAAATTTAAAATGTTAAAAGGTCAAATTTTGCAATGGCACATTAAGTTTTTTGTAATGGTTTTATGTTGACCAAGCAGATATCTTCATTTTAATGTGCAGGACTGTCTGTGTCTGTTTTTGTACATGCTCTTGTTGCTATTGGTATTAATTAAACCTTTCTTAAATTAACTGTTTCAATTGTCCACACAAAAACTTGCCTGTGTTTGTTTTCAAATAAAAAGAAGAAAATAAAAGTAAAATAATTTGAAATACCCATCTAACTCTAATCGAACCATCGTGTTATGCACAAATATTGCATCTACAAATATATATTTTTAAAATATCTATACATGCATTTATTTATTTAGGTACAGGTTCTGGAATAGGCACATTCATTCTCAACCTGTTAGAAGATGACTACCCTGAAGTTTACAGGTTAGCTTTTTTTTCTTCTTTCTTTTTATATAAAATTTGTTTTAAAGAGTAATAATTGGAGAAAAAAAAGTGGTTTAAAAAAAAAATATTTATGCAAAGAATTTCCCTTGCAACCATCAGCTATTAATTAATTTTCCTATGAAAATTTTAATTTTCTAATTATTTAGTTTCAACTTCTTTATTCCCAAGGTTTGTAACAGCAGTATATCCATCCGCAGAGGATGATGTGATTACGTCACCTTACAACAGTGTGCTTGCTATGAGAGAGCTGACCAATCACGCGGATTGTGTTCTTCCAATAGAAAATCAGGTCTAAAGTCTTATTATCTCCATGCCAGCTGATGATTCTGCTAAGTTGTCTGTGTTTTTTGTTACCATGGGGTTGTGAATTTTTTTAATGTAATAATTCTTAAAAAACTAAAAACGCCACAACCTCTAATAGGTCAATACATCCTACAAATATAATAATTTTTGCTGTAATTTACTATAATGTCCAAATTTTTTTTGGTAATATAATTCATATCAAGCAGTGAGTAGTACTTAATGGGAAGGAAACTTAAAATAACTGACATATCTATTTACACTAAATAATTTCACAATTCCCCTCAGTATGGGAGCATTTAATGACTTTGCCTAAGATTCTTTAACAGCTTTGTTTGACTTTTCTTCCCAATATTTGTATTCATTGCACTGATTTTTTTGGCCCTCCAGTATGTAAAAATGTGTATACCTTAGGGATATTCTCTTTATGGGCTTGGATTTGGCTTTTATGGAGACCACTGGGAATGTCAGAAAACTTTGTTTCTATATTGGTTTGAATTGTAATTTTAGAACCACTGAAGTCTCTGAGTTACTAAAATCACATACAGTCTACATTCCTTAAGTTATTTGACTCATATTTTTTTGTGTTAACTGCTTGACTTTAGAATGATTTTAGAACCACCGAAGAATAGACTTCAAAGAGTTAACAGTTTCTTGCAATCTTCAGGCACTTGTTGACATTGTTAACAAAATCACACAAGCCATTCCTTCAACCAAGACTGGCAAGCGAGTGTACAGTCATCCAGTGGTGAAGACAGAGAGCGCCTTAACGGCTGGGACAAGTGGTGTTGTCAGTTCATCGAAAGAGCGACCATTTGACAAGATGAATAACCTTGTAGCAAACCTTTTATTGAACATGACAAGGTTTGTATTTCTCTTAAGCTTATTAGTTAAAATTATCTTATTAAAGCTTTTTTAAAAAAGTTTATTGATGCAGCAAAATAAAAACCTTGCCGTTTGATGTTATTTTAGACTTAACGTACTTAGCAAACTTAGAACTATACTTCAGTCTTATTCATTCAATCAGTCCTCATGAGCTAAACATGCTGATTGTGTGGGCATTTTAAAAACTTATTGTTTCTCCTGCAAAACGTATTTTTACTGTATGTGGTGGCTTGATGCCCAACGCACTTCCTTTAACCTGGCCGCCAGCATTTGATGCCCAACCCACTTCCTTTAACCTGGCCGCCAGCATTTGATGCCCAACCCACTTCCTTTAACCTGGCCGCCAGCATTTGATGCCCAACCCACTTCCTTGAACCTGGCTGCTGACAGGATGGAGTTAATTTTCACTTTGTCTTTAATGAAATGTGATTGGGTCTTCAACATAGGGCTTTAGTTTGATTTAACCTGTGTATGTGCCTCTGTATGTTACAGTTCTGCCAGATTTGAAGGTTCTCTCAATGTGGATCTCAACGAAATAACCATGAACTTAGTCCCCTTTCCTAAAATGCACTACCTCGTTGCCAGCCAGACGCCTTTGTACTGTATGTCTGATGTCCATCTACCACCTCGAAGGTTAGTTTATATTTTTTTTCAAGGAATGTTTTTCTTATAGTCTAACCTACTGCATTTATGATTCTTATCCCATTCTTAAAAACTCCACAGCAATAGTTCATTGGGTAGCATTCACTGCTACCAATTTTACAGCATTTTGTTGGCTGATGTCCAATTCTTCAAGCATCTTTAAAAATATTTCAATCAAGGTCTTTCAAAGTCTTCCCTGCTTCATTAATTACATTCTTTCTTCTTTTGTCATCCAGTGTGTAACAGTGACACCTATGGTCAGTGACACCTATTGTCAGTGACACTTATGGTCAGTGATACGTATGGGCAGTGACACCTATGGTCAGTGATACCTATGGTCAGTGATACCTATGGGTAGTGATACTTATGGTCAGTGATACCTATTGTCAGTGATACCTATGGGCAGTGATACCTATAGTCAGTGATACCTATGATCGTGATACCTATGGGCAGTGATACCAATGGTCAGTGATACCTATGGGTAGTGATACCTTTGGGCGGTGATAACAATGGTCAGTGATACCAATTGTCAGTGATACCCATGCAAATACCCTATAGTCCATTCCAGGATCTGTGTTCTCATTCTTACGATGTCTTCATTCTTTACATGCTCCCTGTATCTCATCTTTCTCATGCTTCTTTGATGATGTACCTTAAATGTCTGTACAATTTTCTGTATCATTCCCCTTGTCTCACTGGTATGTTTTTTGAGATTTAACAAATTGTTTTAGATAATCATTTCTTATCCATTATGAATACTTAATGAAATTTGGAGAATGTAGCATTTTAAAATTGTCACAACATCACTTTATCTGTTGTTTTGTTGTCATTTTTTTTTTGCTGGTAAATGGAAGCATTCATAAAAGCCACAGCTTTGAGACACAGCTTTAAGATATATATCGCAGTCAGCAGACTTAAATGAAATAATATATGTCATTAATTATAACCACCACATCTTATCTATAGTGTTTTCAATAAATGTCTGCGTCACCCCTAGGCTTGACCAGATGTTCTCTGATGCCTTCGCGAGTGACCACCAAATGCTGCAGGTCAACCCCAAGCGTAGCCTCTATTTAGCCTGTGCCTTGATGGTCAGGGGAAATGTGGAACTGTCTGATATAAGGCGAAACATCGACAGGTGATTGTACTTTCTGTTGGAGCTAAACAAAATGTGCTAAACATAGGAGCCAGAATGATCAATTCATTGATCGTGGGCCCTCAAAATAAAGAAGAAGAAGAAGAAATGTTCCCTTTAATTAATGAGAAGTATATATATATATATATATATTTATTTAGGCATTTTTTTTATAGCGCTTACCTTACAGCTCTAAGCGCTTTACAATTATTAAAAATATGTAAACTATTTAAACTGCTAAAGCAAAAGAAAAAGGAAAAAACCAGAGACACTAGAATAGTAACTACAATAAAAATGACTATAGAAACAGTAGCTTAAACATTAAAATGGCTATAAAAACGAGTACACTTTGGCACGTTTTGGCCTATACTACAGGATCAACCCGAGACAGAAAATGAGGCAGGGCAAGGAGGGTGCTTAGGTCATAGGCGGACCTAAACAGATGGGTTTTAAGGGACTTTTTGAAAATTGGACAAGGTTTCACAATGACGGATGTGGAAGGGGAGCAGGTTCCAGAATTTTGGCGCAGGGAAGTAGAAGGAGCATTCACCGATGATCTTAGTTTTGGTTCTTGGGATTGAGAGGGTTCTATTGTCAATTGAAGAGCGTAGTTGTCTTGTGGGGGTGTAAGGAAGCAACAGTTCAGAGAGATAGACAGGAAAGTGAGGGTCAGTGAATGAGTTGAAGCATAGATTGGCAGACTTGTACTTGATGGGAGAGGATATTGGAAGCCAGTGGAGTTGCTGCATGTGTGGTTGAATGTGGTCATGTTTCCTTGATTTAAAAATGAGTCTGCATGCTGAGTTCTGTGCCTTCTGAAGTTTTTCTATGTGGCGTTGAGGAATGCCTGCGAGAAGAGTGTTACAGTAGTCAAATTTTGAAATAATGAGTGAAGAGACTAGAGTTTTTGTGGCATCAAAGGAGAGGATGTGTCTAATGGTGCTGATTTTTCTAATTTCGTTGTATGCTGATCTGCATATGTTCGTGACATGTTTGTCCATGGATAGGGTGTCTGTAAGTGTGACTCCAAGGTTTCTGGCAGAGGAAGAGAGTGTGATGTCAGAGTTGCCGATAGATATAGAAGAAGGAGCGGATGGAGGGAGAGGTTTGTTTTGAGAGGGGATGAGAAGGATTTCCGTTTTATCATCATTTAGCTTCATTTTGATGCAAGTCATCAAACGCTTTACGTCGTCCATGCACTCAAGTATGCGAAGGATTGTGGCATCAAGTTGATCAGGAAAGCAAGAGTCACTGATTTGAGTGTCATCAGCAAAGGATTGACTGGAAACTGAGTGGTAGCTAATGAGAGATGATAGAGGTTTAGTGTAGAGGATGAAAAGGACCGACCCAAGGACCGATCCTTGAGGAACTCCAATAGACAGGGCTGAACATTTGGAAGAGCGTTTGGAAATAGAGACTGTTTGAGTTCTATCAGAAAGATAAGATTGAAACCAGTTTAAAGCTGAGCCAGTAAGTCCAAAAGAAAGATGAAGACGGTCAAGAAGAATCTGGTGGTCAATGGTATCAAATTCAGCAGAGAGATCTAACAGAGTGAGAATAGAGAGTTTGCCACAGTCCATCGCACGCAGGAGGTCGCACATGACTCGGACTAGTGCTATGTCTGTGTTGTGACCAAGTTGGTAGGTGGACTGAGAGGAAGGATAGAGATTGCGAGAATGAAGATAGCCAAAGAGCTGAGAGAGTACTAGTTTTTCTATGATTTTTGAGAGAAAGGAGAGGTTACTTACGGGGCGGTAATTCTTGAGTGTGTTTGGGTCAAGTGAGGGTTTCTTTAGGAGTGGCAGGACTATCGACCGTTTAAAAATGGGAGGGAAGATGCCAGAGAGAATAGAAGAATTTATGTAATATATATATAAAAACTTTTTAAAGATTAGTTTGGCCTTTAATTCAACGTTGGGGAGTCTATCATTGGCTGTGCTGAAATATACCCTTTCAATTTTTCTACCTCACTCAGCCTTTGTGATTCTATTGTGAAAATTGACAATTAAGACATAATAGTGTAGATTTTTTATAACACCTGATAGACACACTGTATCTTTTTCCCAGTGTCAAACAACAAGAACAAAGCTTTGATGAACATTTATTGAGACTTAAAAAAACCAAGTATAAATGTTGTGAAGTATTTCAAACCTTTACAACACCATTGTTGGTAGCAGTAACAGGCATGTCATAAAGTATAATAAAAAATATTTCTGTTTAATGTGTAACTTGTTTCCTTGTATTGGAATACTGTTTTTGATATTCATCAAATATATTTCACAAATGTATCCTAGAAGTTTACTTTGGCAAAACCATTTTTTTTCCCCAGGTTAAAGCCAAATCTTCACTTTGTGAATTGGAATCAAGAGGGTTGGAAAACTGGCCTGTGTTCAGTTGCGCCAGTTGGGCAGCCATATTCCCTGTTAACTTTGGCCAACAATACCTGTGTACACAACACATTTTCAGAAATCAGGGATCGCTTCAACAAACTTTATAAGAGAAAGGTAATCTCTATATTTTTTTGGGGTCATTTTTGCTGCAACTGTCATCCTGCCAGGCTGATGATATTTATATCATTCAAAAAAAGTGGGAGATGATTTTAAACTAGCAGGTCAAAATATTTAGATCATGGCCCATTTATTAACATCTAACCACGTGCCCATTTATAAACATCTAACCATATGCCCATTTGTTAACATCTAACCACATGCCCATTTAATAACATCTAACCACATGCCCATTTAACAACATATAACCACATGCCCATTTAATAACATCTAACCACATGCCCTTTGAATGGATAGCATTTTTGGTTATTAAATAGAAACTTAAATATCCAAACATCAGTTAGCCGTACTTGTGTATAATGACCCAGCAATGTATTTTATTAATACAGTAAGAAAGGGAAATATTATTACTCAACAGCATTTTGAGTCCAATCAAATTGGAGCATGTTGCAAAAGCCTTGACGCCAAACGTTTTTTATTTAGGACATGTGTTTATAAGGGGTGTATTAATTAACATTTTCTCGGGTACAGAATACATTGAAATATTTTTGTCATTTAAAAACTGAGAATGATTTCCTGCTGAATGTCTAGCTTTTGATTCGTCCATGCTCTCCCAATTTCCCTAAATGCCATTCTAGGAGGTAAGAAATTATTTGGTTTATAATGTCATCCATCTCCAGGCCCACCTCCACCACTACACACAGGTGGAGGGGATGGAACTGGCCGACTTCACAGACAGCCTGGAGTCACTGAACTCGGTCATCACCGAGTACTACAGCTTGGAGCAATCCATGGGACAGCCTGTTGTGGTGGAGCCCCGTTTACAAATAGCATCATGACATCAGTAAATGGGATGGGGGAGGGAGGGGAAGGGATGGGGTTGGAGGGATGGGGAGGGAGGGGAAATTTCCACAGTTTGTTAAACTATTATTTTTTAAATTAATTTTTATAATTTAACTCAATAAAGCTCTGGTATCATAAGGAACATTTTACAATTTTTTGTAAACAATATTTGTAAAAAAAATTTTTTAAATTAGTCAGCGTTGTTGGTCTCATTTGTTTATTGTTCAATTAATTACGGCAGCCATTTGTTGGTAACTGGCTTAAACAAATGATTTATTTAACATTTAACGCATTTTATTATCCAATTTTTTGACACATACAAATATGTTGAATAAGTTAAATATTTTAAAAAATAAATGTTATGTCTTGAAATTCTCTTTTTTCCCTTACCAGGTAAATTAATTAATTTTTAAAAATAGACCATGCATGATTTTTAATCCTTTCTCTTCTGTTTATTATTTCCTCTTAATGTAAAGTGTTATCGAACTAAACAGGCAGCATTACAAGTTGTACAGTGCACTTATCTTTTCTTTGTACAGTGCACTTATCTACTCTTTGACATCATATTATCATTTGCAAAAAAAAATAATTTCATAGAGACATTTTGCACAATTAAAATTCTGCATTTGTTGATGTACTTAAACTTGATATATGTTATTGATTGGGAATACGCTGGAAATATTTACCTATTGGTCCAGTGGTTTCCGAAACACATCCGATAAAATAATTTGTGTTTGTTATTTATCTTATTAATACTGTTTCAGACAGATAATTTATATGATAATAAAGAAATATTTGAAATTGCTTTCAACTTTTCTTTTTATTGACATGTTCTGTTAAAGTGAATCACTTCATTTATAAAAAGAGTGGGGAACAATAGCCATTATTTTAAAAATGTGAGAACTGCTTTTTTAAAATATATCCTGGTCTGTTATGTACTGGTAGCTAGAAAGCCCCATCGACACTGGGTGAACTTGAGGATAAAATTCAATGAGTAAATAAGTAGAGCACTGAGGGAAAATTTAAAAAATAATAAATATGAGTTAACTAACAAGAAAGTTTAAAAGGATATGAAATGCAGGGTGAGATTTGATTGGTCCAAGACACAGAGAGATCCTTAATTGCCTATGCCCCACTAGAGGGCGCTAGTTGAACAAATTTTACATCTTACACGTTTCAAGGAAGCAGCTTTTAGAGCCTTGAAGCTTTGTCACATCAAAGAAATCATGAATAGGAGACACATCCTCTAAGTTTTATTGCGTCAAAGAAATCATGAATAGAAGACACATCCTGTAAGTTTTTTAACATCAAAGAAATCATGAACAGAAGACACATCTTCTAAGTTTTATTACATCAAAGAAATAATGAATAGGAGACACTTTCTCTAAGTTTTATTACATCAAACAAATCATGAATAGGAGACACATGAATAGAAGACACATCGTCTAAGTTTTGACACAACAAAGAAATCATGAATAGAAAACACATCCTCTAAGTTTTATTACATCAAAGAAATCATGAATAGGAGACACTTTCTCTAAGTTTTATTACATCAAACAAATCATGAATAGGAGACACATCATCTAAGTTTTGACACAACAAAGAAATCATGAATAGAAGATACATTCTCTAAGTTTTGACACATCAAAGAAATCATGAATAGGAGACACATCCTCTAAGTTTTATTACATCAAAGAAATCATGAATAGAAGACACATCGTCTAAGTTTTGACACAACAAAGAAATCATGAATAGGAGACACATCGTCTAAGTTTTGACACAACAAAGAAATCATGAATAGAAGACACATCCTCTAAGTTTTATTACATCAAAGAAATCATGAATAGGAGACACATCTTCTAAGTTTTGACACATCAAAGAAATCTTGAAAAGGAAAGACAACTTCTATGTACACACATGATTCTGAGTAAATCAATTTACACTGAAACCTTTTTATTTCATTTCTTGTTGGTCTTACCTGAAGAAACTAAATACTTATGACAAATACACCTGTGTTTAAAAAATCTTTTGAATGCCAAAAAAAGGAACAGAAGCAATCTGATTCTAAGATTGGTGGAGAAACTGCCAATAGCAACATGTCTCCGAAGTAGAGAGTAGTGATGGTGAGAGACGATAACAGGCTTCCAGGCCCTGGGAAACCTAAGGTTGCTGAAGGTTTCTCACTACTTGGTTTCATTTTCATCTAGCAATCTATACGTCAGTACAACTGTGTGGTGTAGCGTTTGAGAATATTTCACTTTCGATATCCATTAGTAAGGGATGAGAGACAGTAGTGCAGGACGAAAGGCAATAGTAAAGGTTGAGACTTATGACAGACAGTGGTACTGGACGAGAGACAGCCATCATTTAAAAATAACATATAATGGATGCTTAAACTGCTGACGGGACCATAATATCCTGTTCTGACCAGAATGAGAACTCCTGTGATGGGCCAAGTAAGACTGTCCCATTTTAATGATGTTTTTGTTTCAAGACCTATGCGTATATCAGTTTAGTTAGTTACTTTTGTTACAATATTATACAGTTGGATTTCTTGGACTCAGCCTGGGACGCTGCTGGGACGTTTTTGTTGTTGTTGTTGACTGGAGACGGTTTGTTAAACTGGCCAGGACCAGGATTGCCCAGCTTAAGGTAATCAGGTGGAGGTGCGTTGCCTCTTGGAACCACATCTTCGGATGGCATGTTTTCTATGGGCAACGGCTTGGCTGCCCTGGCCGGTTGTGTCAGGTGATCCTGGTCGGTGTATTCTGTGAGTAGAGACATGTGGAACGAGTACGCTATTGGTGGATTTTAGGGAACAACTTCAAAATATATATATATATTTAACTGTATTTCACTTGTGGTGTGTCCTGCTTCCGTTTTGCAAACGACCCTCCCCCTACTCAAAATATTTTATATTAAAACTACTGAGGGGGGTAAATAAACATGTCATGCAGGGAGCGTCATGCGTGACAGTTGAATTCGGGTAAAAAGGTTAAATTATTTCAGAGGTGACTATTACATTAATCAATAAAGTGCCTCGGGTATGGCGTAGGACTGTCTGTAGGCCGATTATTCCAGCCTTTGGGGACGAAGCGTGATTTTCAAATAAACTTTATTATTATTATTATTTAAAGGCCGGCATATTTTATAGAAAATAAGAAGTTAACTTTTTGTTTTGTAGCACTTGGACCCACCAGCTATTTCCTCCAAATATCGGGGGACCTGGTGTAAAAAAAACAAAAAAAAAAAAAAAAAAAACTGTCCCCGGTTAAGGCATGGTAAGACATTTTTTCAAACTTGAGAACCCTGAATTTTGTACATTAACGTACGGTAAGATTGTTTTACTTACGTTCCTTCCAGAATACAAAAAAGGGGGGACCTGGTGTAAAAAAAAAAAAAAAAAAAAAAAAAAAAAACTGTCCCCGGTTAAGGCATGGTAAGACATTTTTTCAAACTTGAGAACCCTGAATTTTGTACATTAACGTACGGTAAGATTGTTTTACTTACGTTCCTTCCAGAATCCAAATAGGTAGGGATTAGGCCTGGAATATATATAAATAGTTAAGTTATAGTTAAGTTATAGCCACGGAGGTGTGGTGGGGGGGGGGGTGTACGGCTATATATCTACCCACTGGGGCGAGGGCGGTGAGGGTTTACATCACAAAATAACCAGCATGAACAATGCATTGTAATAAGATGTTGAACAATGCATTGTAATAAGATGTTGAACAATGCATTGTAATAAGATGTTGAACAATGCATTGTAATAAAATGTCAAAATAATTTTTTTTTAAATTCTGTATTTCTTTACATCGCATAAACCAGTCGCTGGTCAGGGACGTCATTCGGGTGAGGCCCCGGTCGCTGGCCCTCAATCATTTAATGATTAATGTAACACAAACTCATTCACGTTCACCCGAAGCAGACGATATCTCGGTACAAGATCCATGAGCCGTTTGTGAGTCGCTGTACGGATGTACCGTATGGAGGAAGAGGAGATCATTACTTTCGAAGCCAAAAGTTGTACTCACTCTGGTTTGGGTGGTGCGGGTGGTAAGACCTGAAGGGGCGCTGCTTGTGGGGGTGGGGCTGTCGGAGCCAATGGTGTTGCTTTCTTCGGTTTTTTTAATTTCTCCGGCTCTTCAGCTCTTGGCTGGGGCTCTGGTGGAGCCTTCGTTACTTTGGGTCTGAGAGTATGTCAAAGTTGAAGTTTGTCAAAATTAGTTATTTATAACAGCCTATACAGTAGCGTAATCAAAACTATTTTTAATCAAATCAAACCTTTTTTTTTTTTTCAGCATCAAATTTGTGTATATAATAAAATGCCCTTGTTGTTAAACAGAAGAGTTGCCATATTGTATATTTCCAGCGAAATCACACCATATTAAGATATTGCCCCAAAGAGGGGGACCTACTTTTGTGAGCATTTCCCGGCGCATGAACTCCTGCAAGGGATGCAGTAACGGTAAATCATGTAAGCCGTCAGCGCGAGAAAAACAGCGCCTCCAATGAGAGCTGGGATAAGCCATGACATCACGTGCTCCATGTCGTCCACCCCGCTGGATCTCACGACGGTCACGGTCGTGGAAGGTTTCTTAGTGGTGGTGGTGGTGGTGGTGGTTGCTGTTGTCGTCGTCGTTTTGGGTGGAACTGTCGGAGGGCACGGCTGTGAGAATATATTAGTTGAGGAATTTTTCATGACCTGGCTAGAAATGCTCCATCAAAATAGCAATAGAATTGTATGAGACTTTTTGTTTTAAATGCTCCTCATAATCAATTAAATTGTCTGCATTACGGTGGTTACAATTTTTTACGGCCTTATTTAAAGTGTAACGTACGTTTTAAATATCACATGTTATTTAAAGTGTAACGTACGTTTTAAATATCACATGTTATTTAAAGTGTAACGTACGTTTTAAATATCACATGTTATTTAAAGTGTAACGTACGTTTTAAATATCACATGTTATTTAAAGTGTAACGTACGTTTTAAATATCACATGTTATTTAAAGTGTAACGTACGTTTTAAATATCACATGTTATTTAAAGTGTAACGTACGTTTTAAATATCACATGTTATTTAAAGTGTAACGTACGTTTTAAATATCACATGTTATTTAAAGTGTAACGTACGTTTTAAATATCACATGTTATTTAAAGTGTAACGTACGTTTTAAATATCACATGTTATTTAAAGTGTAACGTACGTTTTAAATATCACATGTTATTTAAAGTGTAACGTACGTTTTAAATATCACATGTTATTTAAAGTGTAACGTACGTTTTAAATATCACATGTTATTTAAAGTGTAACGTACGTTTTAAATATCACATGTTATTTAAAGTGTAACGTACGTTTTAAATATCACATGTTATTTAAAGTGTAACGTACGTTTTAAATATCACATGTTATTTAAAGTGTAACGTACGTTTTAAATATCACATGTTATTTAAAGTGTAACGTACGTTTTAAATATCACATGTTATTTAAAGTGTAACGTACGTTTTAAATATTACATTTTATTTAAATGTAATAATAAATGTATTTTTTTTTTTTAAATGAGAAGAAGAAAAAAAAAACGTGAATTACATCAAAAGAAAATCGAGAAAAGTTTTAAAACTAATGGATGACGTGAAATCTACATGGGTGACGTGAAATCTACATGGGTGACGTGAAATCTACATGGGTGACGTAAAAACTACACACACACAAAAAAACAAAAAAAAAAAAACAATAATAATAAAAAAATCTCCACCCATGGAGGATTAGTACAACTAAGAGTTTAGATCTCAGAATGGGTGCGCATACCACCCTTGGTATAGACAGAGTGTTACTGTACCATTTAAAGGCAATCTTAGAGCGTGTGTGACACGTGACATACCTCCTCCTCATAAGTAATTGGGGCTCCAACCAAACAATCGTCAAACACAACTTAGTTTCTGAATGGCACTCACGTTCGATTACCTTAAGCGAAAATCTATATGTAGGAGATGGAAAAAAATAAAGGAGGGGGCGGGGGGTGGGGTGAGGGGCTCATAGAAAATCGACTCACCCCACATGTCATGGTAATAGAGACCGATGGTCCTTGCAAGGGGCCCGGATATTCACCTAGATCAGTCACACTGGCCACGGCTGAAAGAGTGAGATCATATTCAGAGTGTTAAGCTAGATGCATGGCTTTATAAACGCCAAATTCGGAAAGCTAAGCTAAAATCATCTATGTCACTTTAAGGAGCCGAAGGAAGAATCTGATGCTCTGACTCGGAAATATAACGTCTCAAAACTAGTGTTTCACGGGATAATTGTAGAATAAATAAACATAATAAATGACTCTATAAGTATGACTCGTGTACACAATGTTGTGTCCTATGCGACACTCGTCGTGTCAAGCAGATGTAGGTGATGGCCAATGACAAAACACCGAATTAAACATTTACAGTAGCGACTACAAATGGCAGCCAGCAAAGTGGTCATTTTAAAGAAAAACAGAAAGTTCATATGGCATTGTCCTGAGTGGACATGGAGACAGCTGGGGGAAAAAATGTGGAGAGACTTATAAGGACTTTGCATTATAAAAAATTATTGCTGAATTCAAGAAGGTTTGCTGGGAGGTGTTTAAAGAGCGATGAAGGTTCTATGGCACCGGACACAGCCAAAATAAGCAACAAGGTTCTATGGCACCGGACACGGCCAAAATAAGCAACAATGTTCTATGGCACCGGACACGGCCAAAATAAGCAACAATGTTCTATGGCACCGGACACGGCCAAAATAAGCAACAAGGTTCTATGGCACCGGACACGGCCAAAATAAGCAACAAGGTTCTATGGCACCGGACACGGCCAAAATAAGCAACACTTTACAACGTCAAGACTCGGCCAAGATTTTTGGGACAACAATTTTTTAAAACTGACCTTCCCAGCTTACCCCATCTCCCATCCACACCCCACCCATTTTAATGTGTAGTTCACCTGAATCTGTCTCCCCATCGATGCAAGGTTGCACCAGGACGACATCTCCGGTTGACGTGACGGCCATCTTGTCCCCCCCTCCACCATACACCAGGGCGTCATTGCTCTGGTAGGGGGAATCATCGTCGACTGCGGCCACTTGACCTGCGGGGTTAGAGTTGTGTTACTTAAAAGAAGGTTATTCGACGACAAAGATGCTATCCAAACACAACAAAGATGCTATCCAAACACAACAAAGATGATATCCAAACACAACAAAGATGCTATCCAAACACAACAAAGATGCTATCCAAACACAACAAAGATGCTATCCAAACACAACAAAGATGCTATCCAAACACAACAAAGATGCTATCCAAACACAACAAAGATGATATCCAAACACAACAAAGATGCTATCCAAACACAACAAAGATGCTATCCAAACACAACAAAGATGCTATCCAAACACAACATAACAAAGATGATATCCAAACACAACAAAGATGCTATCCAAACACAACAAAGATGCTATCCAAACACAACAAAGATGCTATCCAAACACAACAAAGATGCTATCCAAACACAACAAAGATGCTATCCAAACACAACATAACAAAGATGATATTCAAACACAACAAAGATGCTATCCAAACACAACAAAGATGCTATCCAAACACAACAAAGATGATATCCAAACACAACAAAGATGCTATCCAAACACAACAAAGATGCTATCCAAACACAACAAAGATGATATCCAAACACAACAAAGATGCTATCCAAACACAACATAACAAAGATGATATCCAAACACAACAAAGATGCTATCCAAATACAACATAACAAAGATGCTATCCAAACACAACAAAGATGCTGTCCAAACACAACAAAGATGCTATCCAAACACAACAAAGATGATATCCAAACTCAACAAAGATGATATTCAAACTCAACAAAGATGATATTCAAACACAACAAAGATGCTATCCAAACACAACATAACAAAGATGATATCCAAACACAACAAAGATGCTATCCAAACACAACAAAGATGCTATCCAAACACAACAAAGATGCTATCCAAATACAACAAAGATGATATTCAAACACGACAAAGATGCTATTCAAACACAACATTGATGATATCCAAACACAACAAAGATGCTATTCAAACACAACAAAGATGATATTCAAACACGACAAAGATGATATTCAAACACAACATTGATGATATCCAAACACAACAAAGATGCTATTCAAACACAACAAAGATGTTATTCAAACACGACAAAGATGATATTCAAACACAACATTGATGATATCCAAACACAACAAAGATGCTATCCAAACACGACAAAGATGATATTCAAACACAACATTGATGATATCCAAACACAACAAAGATGCTATCCAAACACGACAAAGATGATATTCAAACAGAACATTGATGATATCCAAACCAGAATGTGATGATGATGCCAGGCTGAGGTCACAAAGGTCAACCTTGTTCTAATTTAAAGTTTTCTTTGTACAACAACAACAATCTAGCGACTCTCTGCAACTCGTCTCTAACAAAGATTCCAAAGAATTAAGAAACCACGGTTCACACTCTATGTCGATTGAAAGGTTGTCTGAGAGTTGGTTGAGAGGTTAGGTGGGGGGGGGGGGGGTTGCTTGAAGGGTTAGTTGGGGGGTTGGTTGAAGGATTGGTTGGGATTAGTTGATTTAGGGCTATTAAAATGCCAACTGAAATAACTTACTGTTGGATAATTTTAGGTTCAACAAAATTTACCAAGCTTTGAGGCGACAGCCGTGCACTCGGTAGCTGTGAAAGAGTAGGACTTCGACGTGAACAAGGGGGCGTTATCGTTGATGTCGTGGACTACGATAGTTAAGGAACCTTTTGCCTTTTCCCCGTAGTTATCCGTCACGGTGTAGTCAATGTCAAAGCTCTTGGACGGATTTTTCTGTGGCATTTAAAGACAATGATATGGGAATAAATTGGGTGTATATTTTTCTGTGGCATTTAAGGACAATGATATGGGAATAAATTGGGTGTATATTTTTCTGTGGCATTTAAAGACAATGATATGGGAATAAATTGGGTGTATATTTTTCTGTGGCATTTAAGGACAATGATATGGGAATAAATTGGGTGTATATTTTTCTGTGGCATTTAAGGACAATGATATGGGAATAAATTGGGTGTATATTTTTCTGTGGCATTTAAAGACAATGATATGGGAATAAATTGGGTGTATATTTTTCTGTGGCATTTAAGGACAATGATATGGGAATAAATTGGGTGTATATTTTTCTGTGGCATTTAAAGACAATGATATGGGAATAAATTGGGTGTATATTTTTCAGTGGCATTTAAAGACAATGATATGGGAATAAATTGGGTGTATATTTTTCTGTGGCATTTAAGGACAATGATATGGGAATAAATTGGGTGTATATTTTTCAGTGGCATTTAAAGACAATGATATGGGAATAAATTGGGTGTATATTTTTCTGTGGCATTTAAGGACAATGATATGGGAATAAATTGGGTGTATATTTTTCTGTGGCATTTAAAGACAATGATATGGGAATAAATTGGGTGCATATTTTTATGAGGCATTTTAGTACAATGATATGGGAATAAATTGGATATATATTCTTTTTTTTAATTTTAAGTGAATTAATTGTGTTTTTGTGTATGTTGGTGTAAATTCGGTGTATGTAATGCGTAAGCTACATCTTGGTGAGAATTGAGTGTATATTTCTTAATGTTTGAAGTTAATTGGGTGAATGTTCATGTTAATTAAAGTAAGTGGATGTAAGTCAGTTTAGAACAACATAAGAATACGTGCTGCGTTGTCGGGGAGTGCAATCAATATGTTGGGATGAACCTACTTGGACAATGACGTTGTTAAAACATTCATATTCAACAAACTTTGTCCAAGGCCACGGGTATCATGGCGTCAATTTTACCCGCTAAACCACCTTTTGCAAAGACCACAGGTATCATGGTGTCAATATTAACCTCAAACCCACCTTGTCAGTGTCCACTGGTATCATGGTGTTAAAATTAACCTTAAACCGAGCTTGTCAGTGTCCACTGGTATCATGGTGTCAATATTAACCCCAAACCAACCTTGTCAGTGTCCACTGATATCATGGTGTTAAAATTAACCTTAAACCCAGCTTGTCAATGCCCACTGGTATCATGGTGTCAATATTAACCTCAAACCCACCTTGTCAGTGTCCACTGGTATCATGGTGTCAAAATTAGCCTTAAACCCAGCTTGTCAATGTCCACTGGTATCATGGTGTCAAAATTAATCTTAAAACCCACCTTGTCAATGTCCACTGGTATCATGGTGTCAAAATTAATCTTAAAACCCACCTTGTCAATGTCCACTGGTATCATGGTGTCAAAATTAATCTTAAAACCCACCTTGTCAATGTCCACTGGTATCATGGTGTCAAAATTAATCTTAAAACCCACCTTGTCAATGTCCACTGGTATCATGATAGTTGAGAGTTAATTTTTAAAACTGGGGTGGGGGGGGGGGGTGTTTTATGCATGTGTTTTGCATGTTGTAGTTTTTACTCTTGTTTTGAAACATTTCCCTTTTTTTTATGAGCATTTAATTAATGGACTTCTAACTTAATGCATGATCTACATAACATAAAAAACATATGTACCGTATCGTTGTGTGTGTGTGTGTATTTCAGTTTATGTGTTTTAATGTTATTTAAATTATAGGTTAACGAAAATTAAATCCATCTGACATTAAATTTAACATGGCTTTTTTAAATGTGCGCATGTGCAGACCGTTGGAATGTTGTCCCTGGCGTATATATACCATGGATCATAAAATGTCGCTTGGGTTATTATAACATCGGACATTTAAGAGCGGGATTTTCAAGTGGCAAAAAAAATGTGTCATACAAAGATTTTTTTAGTAGAATGTCAAAAATAAATGTTGTAAATAATAATGATTATTTCTTTTAATTATTTTTTATTTCCGTGCTGCCCACGTGACTACTCACGTCTCCTTCATAGACATCAATCTGCTTTCTTTTGGGAGGCGTCAAAACGGGAGGTTCCGGCACGTCCACAATGTTGACAGTGAGTGAGTACTGGGGGGAGGAGCAATAGCCGTCCGTGACGTCAAAGTAGAGGACCACAGAGCGCGTGTCGGTCCTCTCGTAGTTGGGCTTTATGTTGAGTTCAAGGTTTTTGCCTGGAGAGTGCCGACATAAGAAACTTATTTGATGTCAAGAAGCAAGCACATCGCGTTTAGCAAGAAGTTGTTGTCGGATTTTTTAAAATGAACTGTTGAATGACGTCTCGAGATCCTTATTTCCAAAGGTTTGGGCTGAGGGGTAGAAGTTTTTTAGGGTAACCGCTGTCTTTCGGAGTTTTCGAGTGTAAAAAAAAAAATTAAATAAGAAAACGGTCGAAAGTTACAATGAGCATGGTTATGGTAACTTTTGGTCGCCTAAATGGTCAACAGTTACAATGAACATGATAAGGTCAACTTTTGGTCGCCTAAATGGTCAACAGTTACAATGAACATGATAAGGTCAACTTTTGGTCGCCTAAATGGTCAACAGTTACAATGAACATGATAAGGTCAACTTTTGGTCGCCTAAATGGTCAACAGTTACAATGAACATGATAAGGTCAACTTTTGGTCGCCTAAATGGTCAACAGTTACAATGAACATGGCTAGGTCAACTTTTGGTCGCCTAAACGGTCAACAGTTACAATGAACATGGCTAGGTCAATTTTGTGTCGCCTAAACGGTCAACAGTTACAATGAACATGGCTAGGTCAACTTTTGGTCGCCTAAATGGTCAACAGTTACAATGAACATGGCTATGTCAACTTTTGGTCGCCTAAATGGTCAACAGTTACAATGAACATGATAAGGTCAACTTTTGGTCGCCTAAATGGTCAACAGTTACAATGAACATGGCTAGGTCAACTTTTGGTCGCCTAAATGGTCAACAGTTACAATGAACATGGCTAGGTCAACTTTTGGTCGCCTAAATGGTCAACAGTTACAATGAACATGGCTATGTCAACTTTTGGTCGCCTAAATGGTCAACAGTTACAATGAACATGGCTAGGTCAACTTTTGTGTCGCCTAAATGGTCAACAGTTACAATGAACATGGCTATGTCAACTTTTGGTCGCCTAAATGGTCAACAGTTACAATGAACATGGCTAGGTCAACTTTTGTGTCGCCTAAACGGTCAACAGTTACAATGAACATGGCTATGTCAACTTTTGGTCGCCTAAATGGTCAACAGTTACAATGAACATGGCTAGGTCAATTTTGTGTCGCCTAAATGGTCAACAGTTACAATGAACATGGCTAGGTCAACTTTTGTGTCGCCTAAATGGTCAACAGTTACAATGAACATGGCTAGGTCAACTTTTGGTCGCCTAAACGGTCAACAGTTACAATGAACATGGCTAGGTCAATTTTGTGTCGCCTAAATGGTCAACAGTTACAATGAACATGGCTATGTCAACTTTTGGTCGCCTAAATGGTCAACAGTTACAATGAACATGGCTATGTCAACTTTTGGTCGCCTAAATGGTCAACAGTTACAATGAACATGGCTATGTCAACTTTTGTGTCGCCTAAATGGTCAACAGTTACAATGAACATGGCTAGGTCAACTTTTGGTCGCCTAAACGGTCAACAGTTACAATGAACATGGCTAGGTCAATTTTGTGTCGCCTAAATGGTCAACAGTTACAATGAACATGGCTATGTCAACTTTTGGTCGCCTAAATGGTCAACAGTTACAATGAACATGGCTATGTCAACTTTTGGTCGCCTAAATGGTCAACAGTTACAATGAACATGGCTAGGTCAACTTTTGGTCGCCTAAATGGTCAACAGTTACAATGAACATGGCTAGGTCAACTTTTGGTCGCCTAAATGGTCAACAGTTACAATGAACATGGCTAGGTCAACTTTTGGTCGCCTAAATGGTCAACAGTTACAATGAACATGGCTAGGTCAACTTTTGGTCGCCTAAATGGTCAACAGTTACAATGAACATGGCTAGGTCAACTTTTGGTCGCCTAAATGGTCAACAGTTACAATGAACATGGCTAGGTCAACTTTTGGTCGCCTAAATGGTCAACAGTTACAATGAACATGGCTAGGTCAACTTTTGGTCGCCTAAATGGTCAACAGTTACAATGAACATGGCTAGGTCAACTTTTGGTCGCCTAAATGGTCAACAGTTACAATGAACATGGCTAGGTCAACTTTTGGTCGCCTAAATGGTCAACAGTTACAATGAACATGGCTAGGTCAACTTTTGGTCGCCTAAATGGTCAACAGTTACAATGAACATGGCTAGGTCAACTTTTGGTCGCCTAAATGGTCAACAGTTACAATGAACATGGCTAGGTCAACTTTTGGTCGCCTAAATGGTCAACAGTTACAATGAACATGGCTAGGTCAACTTTTGGTCGCCTAAATGGTCAACAGTTACAATGAACATGGCTAGGTCAACTTTTGGTCGCCTAAATGGTCAACAGTTACAATGAACATGGCTAGGTCAACTTTTGGTCGCCTAAATGGTCAACAGTTACAATGAACATGGCTATGTCAACTTTTGGTCGCCTAAATGGTCAACAGTTACAATGAACATGGCTATGTCAACTTTTGGTCGCCTAAATGGTCAACAGTTACAATGAACATGGCTATGTCAACTTTTGGTCGCCTAAGTGGTCAACAGTTACAATGAACATGGCTAGGTCAACTTTTGGTCGCCTAAACGGTCAACAGTTACAATGAACATGGCTAGGTCAACTTTTGATCGCCTACATGTTCAACAGTTACAATGAACATGGCTAGGTCAACTTTTGGTCGCCTAAACGGTCAACAGTTACAATGAACATGGCTAGGTCAATTTTGTGTCGCCTAAACGGTCAACAGTTACAATGAACATGGCTAGGTCAACTTTTGGTCGCCTAAGTGGTCAACAGTTACAATGAACATGGCTATGGCAACTTTGTTTGACGTTAAATTTAAAGTTTAGGCAATTACCTTAAAAAGATCAACCTTTCAACAACAACAAAAATGTCTGTAAAAGGGCGTAACAGACTATGCATAATATCTTAAAGTAAAAAGGGGGGCAGGCAGGGCTGGCGACACACATATATATAACAATCTTCACATTGTTTTAAGACACATTTTTAAATAAGACTTATGAAGCTAAAAAACTAATTTCAAATATCCTACGAGTAAGTTTGTATGACTAGTCTAGGTCTACAAAACTCAGAGCGGAGCCTTATTTTTAACTTCGTTTACTGTAGGGAATTCATCAGCGTTGAATTGTTCCTGATCTTTGTCCTAGAGCAAACCGTGATGAATCACATAGAGCAAACCGTGATGAATCACATAGAGCAAACCGTGATGAATCACATTGAGCAAACCGTGATGAATCACATAGAGCAAACCGTGATGAATCACATAGAGCAAACCGTGATGAATCACATAGAGCAAACCGTGATGAATCACATAGAGCAAACCGTGATAAATCACATAGAGCAAACCGTGATGAATCACATAGAGCGAACCGTGATGAATCACATAGAGCAAACCGTGATGAATCACATAGAGCAAACCGTGATGAATCACATAGAGCAAACCGTGATGAATCACATAGAGCAAACCGTGATGAATCACATAGAGCAAACCGTGATGAATCACATTCGCTTTGTTTCGCTGGAAAAGATCCTGAGCAGTGTTTATTTATTTAATTATGTTTTTTAATGTTATTATTATTATTTTTAATTTTACGGACACCCTAAAGTTCTTGCAGCATTTTACGGACACCCTAAAGTTCTTGCAGCATTTTACGGACACCCTAAAGTTCTTGCAGCATTTTACGGACACCCTAAAGTTCTTGCAGCATTTTACGGACACCCTAAAGTTCTTGCAGCATTTTACGGACACCCTAAAGTTCTTGCAGCATTTTACGGAGTGTAACTTTAGGTCACCTTTCTTACAGACTGTCCGTAAATTTACGAAAGGGTAGGCGGCCCTAGGACCAGAGCTTACCTACCATTCAGTTTGTACTGCTCAAGACCAGCACTGGTCACTGACGTCATACGAATGTTTTTATAGGGCACGTTAGCGTCAACAATGTCCAGGACGTGTATGACCGAGCCCGCCCCTGTGTTCTCTTTCACCTGTAACGTTGTGTCCAAGTTCTTGATCACGGGCGCCGTGTTGTAGGCTGGGGGGGGGGTGGTGGTGATGGGGGAGACACATTAAATAATAACAGTGTAATATGGCTGTTGTCGACATTCTACAATGATGGAATGAGATTTATTTAAATTAATTCATAAATAGTTGGGTTCTTTTTTTTTATTGTTTGTTTGTTTGTTTTGTTTGTTTGTTTGTTGCTTTTTTTTTTTTTTTTTTTTTTTAATTTTTTTAGTCATAAGAAAAAAAAGTAACAAAATCAAAAATATAAAATTGAGATCTGATACATACGGTTGACAATAAACTCAATTGTTTTGGGGCCTATGGCAGGATTGTAGCTGTCAAAGGCTCTCACAGTCGCCGTGACCTTGCTCTCACACAGGTACTTCAGGTCATTGGTGGCCCGGATCTCACCATCGGCTGAACAAAATTAATTATAGTGCATCACTTTAGTTCAGAACATTGTTCAAAAAGTTTTTTCTTAGCCGCTATTTCGTACTAGTAGCTTCGCCCGTCAGAAATGACGTGTTGACTTTTTAGTACATCAAATGTAATCGTTTATTCTTCTTCGTTCTTAACATTATTCACCGTAGCCAGTGGGGTGGGGGGGGGGGGGGCTAAAAAAAATTTTGGCCCACTTCGGGGGCCATTAACCCTAGCTACGTCACTGGCCGTAGGCAGAAGAAACTTTGAGGAAATGTTAGTAACAACCGGTGTCTCTTCTTTTTCGATGTAAAGAATCTTTGAGACCCAGGTACGAAGTGCGCACTGCGATGCATTACTTACTGTAGCCAATAGACAGATATGATGTGCTGGGTGACGTAAGCATGGTGTAGTAAACTGGGTCACCATCTACGTCCTTGGTGTTGACGTCATACACTATGTCTCCCGCCTTGACGGATGTACCATCAATGGTCACTGAGGTGAGAAACATGTCAGAGATAACAATTACAGAAAGAACACAAAAATTGACTCTAGCGATAACATCCACTGACATGACATGCTAGTCAAAATATTAACGTGAACTAACATTTGAGTAAAAGCATTCAGCTAGAGCAGTGGCACTTAACCTGGGTTCGATCGAACACCATGGGTTCGGTGAGTCAGTCTCAGGGGTACGGCGGAGGTCCAAAAAAAAAAAATCAGAAAAAAAAATATCATATTTTATTTTTCCTATTAAGAAGGGTTCGGTGAATGCACATATGAAACTGGTGGGGTTCAGTACCTCCAACAAGGTTAAGAACCACTGATCTAGAGCTAACTTTCAATAGGAATTTATTTAATTTTTTTCAGTAATTATTTGAATTTTTTTTTTTTTGTCATAAAGCGCAACATCCCATTATAATAAAACTGAGTGGCATCAAATGTCAAGGTCATGTTCTTCGCTTGACGTCATGCGACGTGCACTGAAGATACTTTAAACTGACAAGATGTCAGAGCATACGGGTATACAATAACAAACGATTCCCCCCTCCCCCACACACACCCACAAACCTGTGGCAGGGGGCACTGGATCGAATGACGGTGGGGTGTTGGATTTGATGGTGACCGTCAGTGTCTTGGTGCTGACCCCATCAGTGTCATCTGTGCACGCAACGGTCAACGTGTAGCTGGACGCCCGGACATAGTTCAGAGTACCCTCCGTAGGGACAAACGAGAGACAGTAATCTGGGAGAAATTGCAGGCGAAAAAAAATCTGAGAAACGGGTGACAGGGCTGAGGAATATGAAAAATGAATGAGAAATGTTTGCCAAGTATGAAATGACTGACAGGTGAATGAGAGATGACTGATGGGTGTATTAGAGATGACTGACAGGTGTATGAGAGATGACTGACAAGTGAATGAGAGATGACTGACAGGTGTATGAGAGATGACTGACAGGTATATGAGAAATTGTTGATTTGTATGAAATGAATGACAGGTGTTTGAAAAATAACTTACAGGTAGGTATATGAGAAATTATTGACAGGTATATGAGAAGGTATTGACTTGTATGAAATGACTTACAGGTCTTTGAGAAACGACTGACATGTATATGACAATAATAAACCAATTTTTTAGAAAAAAGGAAGAATATGAAAACGCATAGCCATAATTATTTGAAATTAATATATAAAATAATCCGAAGCCATTGTTTTGATAAGATGCCAAGAAGCTAACACAATGTTTGTTAATGAATGAATTAAAGATTAACAAATTTTTTTTCCCCGAAGACAATGGCCCAACGGCATCTTCCAAATCCATTTAATTGAAATTGTTGAATCTTTACTACCGGTAAAAATTTCACGAATTCAAGGAATTACCCGTTCCATTGGCGGCTCCACACGGGAGGAGCATGAAGCATTTGCTCCCGCATGGGGCGCTGGGGCTCACGCTCTGGATGTACGCCCTCGTCAGATCATTATCACCGTCCTCACACGTCGCTATCGGTTTGTCCCCGTTCAGGTCCAACACTTTGTCTTCCTGCTCGTTCAGCTCCACGTCGATGTCCGCCAGGGTCAACACGGGGGGCGTGGCTCCACAGACCTGCTGGGTCAGCGCATTAAACAGTAATGGCAGTGACAACACGGGGCGCGGGGATGGGGGGGGGGAAGGTCCCCCCTGCCCTGGTCAACAAGCAAACAATAACAGTTATCGGATGAGTCTTGGGCGGGGTTTAAAGGTAAAAAAAGGGGACGGGCGACCAAAGCGGAGACAGAATGTTAGTGATGTTACAATTAGTGATCACTTCTGGGAATTTTTGTGTGTCATATTCAATGTATTTCTAATTGACATCAAAAATATGCTGAGGTATTCAAAGAATTCCTTAGTTCAAATTCTCACTATCTGTGTTTTTTAATAACCCCATTTGGAAATAGTGCACTTTTGTGGAAGCGTTATTTTTAAATCCTTTATATTAACTTAGATTTTTTTCGCTGGCTGGCTGACGGACAAAATTTCTGGACGGCTAACTGACCCACTTCCCGTCAACCTATCGAGCTGAAACTTGGCACATAGACTCGTTTCCGATGACAACATGTTTTGTTAATTTTCTCTCTCAGACGTCAGCAGTTCGCTTTAAGAATGGCGCACGTTTACAATGCCCACAAGCGCCCCTTTTAAAAAAAAAAAATCATAATGCAATTTTAATTCCATTTTTTTTTAAAGATGTAAAACTAAGTATAAATCTTTCCAACCTTATGACAGCGTGATTGGGTTTAACTTTTAATCGTCTGCGACCCATGGCGGTTTTTTTTTTATATCGTCACTTTAAAACTAAATGTTTCTTTTGTATTTCACCAGGGACTCGACTTCAGGCATTTGATCAACTTTTGTTGATGTCAGCCCCTATTAGTCGCGGCGAAAGCCTCACAGAAATTTCACAATATTTTGATTGAAATGAAAGACATTTATTACCGCACTATATTTTTGGGTCACTTGAACAAATTAAGATTGGATTGATATAGTTGTTGAGATGTTGCATCTGAGCGAAACAAAACTTTTTTTTTTTATTACAGTTCTCAAATAATGATTTGCAGAATGTTATTATTTTTTTTACATCGAATGTGTTGTTGTTGTTGTTGATGATGATGTTGTTGTTGTTGTTCTAAGTAAGTTTGAAAACTAGGGATCTAATTGTATGATTATTTTTAAAGTCTTCAATTTTCAATTTATCATAAGTTGTGTGCTTGTGTGTGCCTGCTTCTGTGTGTGCATATTTCTGTGTGTGTGTGTTTCTCACCCTCTCTATCTCTCTCTCTCTATCTCTCTCTCTCTCTCTCTATCTCTCTCTATCTCTCTCTATCTCTCTCTATCTCTCTCTATCTCTCTCTATCTCTCTCTATCTCTCTCTCTCTCTCTCTATCTCTCTCTATCTCTCTCTATCTCTCTCTATCTCTCTCTATCTCTCCCTCTCTGTTTGTTTGTGTGTAGGCGTATGCGAGTTATCTCACCGACTGATGGATTGAGAAACAATAGCAGGCGACCAGAAGTACAACAGTAACGTGATTACCCTCCATCTGATTGGTTGACTCACAGCCGGTTCCTCCTCACCAAAACAAGAAGGACTGAGGAATAAGGAAGATGTTCCCGACCACGTTAACATTTTTTTTTTTTTAAATCGTAAGTTTCGCATGCAGCAAAACGTGTCCACTTCCAAATGCTAACTTTTGTCTTCCAGTAGCAACAGTTAACATCTACATGTGGCACTACGTGTATTTGTTGGTGTTAACTTCTTAATACCAGGAATGTCTTCAGAAAGTCAAAAAGTTGTTAACTTTTTAATACAAAATTTTATTTCTAAGATTTACAAAAGTAATTATACGATTCAATTCCAAAAGTAACAATTATTTACAAGTTTATTTTTTTTTACTTATAGCTGAAACTGTTGTTGACTTCCATTCAATTTTTTACACATTTTGTTGATCAACTGATAGCGTGTTAGTCCATTAAGGTTATCAAATAATGACTTGGTCATAGTCAAGCGATTTTATAATGTCTACACATTATTTTATTTGTATAATTCTTGGAAATTTAACGCGCAAAAACTGCATGTAAAATTAAAAAGGTGAGATTATAATAAACCGTGTATAACATGAAAATATATTACCTTATAATTATAATCCTCAATGAATAACTTTAATAATCTCTTTCAAAAATCAGGTGCCCCACCCTTAGCTCAGATGACTTAATCCAAATGCTGGTCAAATAAACGTGCACCAGGCGATAAGAAGGTCATGTGTTACGCCACTGACAGACACGCTCCGATGAATTCTTACAGTAGACACTTTCGAATGAATAAATTTCTCCACGTCATAGAAATACATGTAAATTGTTGCAGTCAAGTGTCGAACAGACAGACAAACAGAAATAGGGTAATCAGTTCGTGTTGAGTTGTGTTCTCAAACGGTGGTCTCCGTGGGTCGGTAAAAGAACATTTTCAAAGTTTCATATGGTTTTAATTCTCATTGTTTTCTTTCACCACAACATTACATTGTGACAAGTTATCAAGGCAATGACATCACATTGTGACAAGTTATCAAGGCAATGACATCACATTGTGACAAGAATCAAGGCAAGGACATCACATTGTGACTAGTATCAAGGCAAGGACATCACATTGTGACAAGTATCAAGGCAATGACATCACATTGTGACACGTATCAAGGCAATGACATCACATTGTGACAAGTATCAAGGCAATGACATCACATTGTGACAAGTATCAAAACAATGACATCACATTGTGACAAGTATCAAAACAATGGCGTCACATTGTGACAATTCTCAAAAAAATGACATCAAATATCAAAGCAATGATATTCCATTGTGACAATTATAAAAACAATGACATCACATCTAATTTTTAGTGATCTAAAAAAAAAAAACAATTATTGAGAGTAAAATTCTCCAATTAACTCTTAGATAAAGATTTGTTGTTTATTTTCCCCAAATTAATTCTTAACTCCCTTTATTTTTGTTTTTGGCTGACATTCTATTCTATAGCCCCCCCTTTTTTAATGATTTTAGGAGGTATACCCCCCCCCCCCACACACACACACACTTTTCTGGACACCATTAAAGGACAGACATTTATTTTCCCCCAATTAATTCTTAACTCCCTTTTTTTTTGTTTTTGGCTGACCTTCTATTCTATAGCCCCCCCTTTTTTAATGATTTTAGGAGGTATACCCCCCCCCCCCACACACACACACACTTTTCTGGACACCATTAAAGGACAGACTAAGCGGCTCACTTGGTCTACTTTTGACCTAAGCGCCTCCTTATGACACCTCAGTATTAGTTAGTATCTCTGTGATCTGATTGGACAGATCAGGCGACACGCTACCTTCGAATCAGCTCCTTTCATGGACTGCCTCGGCGCACCGATTGAACCGTTTCAACGGTAGTAAGTTTTAAAACAACAACAACAACAACAACTCCGGACGCAATGAGACTGTTTAGAAGTTGATCGCTTTAAAAAGACTTGGGCTGGAATGAAGAAAGCACTCAATCAATGAATCAATCGATTGGAAAAAAAAACGATTCTGTATCAAATCAATAAAAATAAATTTACATGCAATCTCTTCCACACGTCATTTTTTGGAGTTATTTATTTAACTTGGCATGTGTTAGGAATATCTCATAGTCGACGATTCTCAAACTGTTCACTTGTATGTCAATTTCTTACCTCTTGAGGAAGACATCGAGCAACACGAAATGCAAAATTTTGAAATAGAGCAGAAATATTTTAGCCTCGGTTTGAGACTTGTAAGAGATTTTGGGGGGAGTGTGTTCTTAGTCGAGGGTCTAAAACTGGTAAATATCAAGCTTTATATGGATGAAATTTTAGAGTTGGCGTCTGACAAATATGGCGGTGTGCCCCTGTCCATGACAAGCAGAATTCTGTCATCGTTCGACATCTTTTTGTAGAGCCAATCTTTGACAGCTCGATTAAGAGACAGATCTTTGACAGCTCGATTAAAAGACAGATCTTTGACAGCTCGATTAAGAGACAGATCTTTGACAGCTCGATTAAGAGACACATCTTTGACAGCTCAATCAAGAGACAAATCTTTGACAGCTCGATTTAGAGACATATCTTTGACAGTTCGATTAAAAGACAGATCTTTGACAGCTCGATTAAGAGACAGATCTTTGACAGCTCGATCAAGAGACAAATCTTTGACAGCTCGATTTAGAGACATATCTTTGACAGCTCGATTAAAAGACAGATCTTTGACAGCTCGATTAAGAGACAGATCTTTGACAGCTCGATTAAAAGACAGATCTTTGACAGCTCGATTTAGAGACAGATCTTTGACAGCTCGATTTAGAGACACATCTTTGACAGCTCAATCAAGAGACAAATCTTTGACAGCTCGATTTAGAGACATATCTTTGACAGCTCGATTTAGAGACAGATCTTTGACGGTTATCCGCCGTCGCTTCACCGATGCCACTTCGTCGCCACCATTTTGCAGCCGGAGCGGTCGCTGCTGGGTCGACGTCTCACCGTCGACGGCAATATCGCCGGCAAGGACCAACAGTTGTTGGAATCCTAAAGCGACGATTCAATACACATGGGATTTGAGTGCCTTGAATTTTAAGAAAAGATATCTACACATGTTTGTGTCAGGCAAAACTTTGTTTGTGGTGGGTTTGTTCGCTAGTTCCGCATACAAACGTATGTTGATTTATGGGAGTAAACATGTCAATTGTACGAAAAGTTTTATTTTTCACCTTTAAATGCCAACCACTCCCCCCCCCCCC